GTAATTTTTAACACTTTAGCTTTGGCCCTCTTTGACCATGACTGGACCCCCCTGTTAGGCCATAGTGGGAATGCCCCTCCCGGGGAGGAAATATTTGACCAGAACTGTGGTTTCTTCGTGCATGTAGCAAAGTGGATGATTCAAAATCATGATGCAGACCCTAAGGCCTCGTACGTCACAGCAGAGACCAATCTGATGTTTTTCAATTAGTTTTTGCCTGAAGGTAGATGAACTTTTAGGGGCTTATCGGTTAGAGCGTTCCGACTTTTTCAAGCTTGACGTAGTACTGATATTTTAACCGTTCTAAAATCGTATGCAAAGTCCGTGTTGGTTTTCCAGCGCCAGCTGATCGTACACATAATATGCTTAACGAATAAAGAAGGATATTACTAATTTTATGTTAAAATTGCAATCTGTTATTTCAATCTATGAGCCCAATCCGAATTAGATATTGCGGTGACTATGGCATTCGTTTTGTTTACGAAATTTTCTGCTGCATTTACATTACGTTTTAACATGGTTGTTTTCTGCAATGATCTTTGTCCTCTTATCAACCTAAAGGTTGGCTATCAAATTGAAAATAATTGTGTTTACTGCTTTGTCGGAGGTTTCGTCCTAAAAAGTTAGCAAGGGGGAGTGTGCCGTAAAAGTCACGTCCAATACCACACCAATGGTCACACACTGTATATTTGCATTTTGTGTTAAATATTCTTTGTTGTTTATATGAAATTACTCAAATTGTCAATAGCATGCTCAGAGCCGATGCCAATGGGGGCATGGGAGGGCGCGTCGCCCCCCAATAAGGCTGTTTGTCGTAAAATCTGAAATGCTTTTCGGAGAATTTAAGGATTCTTCACAGTCACAAGTCACATCCCAACGACTGGCTGAATATATTCTTCTTAGCTTTCCATATTTTATTATTAGCAATTTTACTTTTAATCGATTATTTTATGTTGCATTGACTGGAAATAGCCAAAGTTGGTCCTTACTGAATAATTTAGTGGTCCTTTGCCTTTGACTAGTCACTTCACCAAGAAGGCAACTGCACCTCGAAAAACTCTTATCGGCTTCTAAGATATAGCAAATTGGGTTGGGCTACTAGACCCACAGTATACCTAGCAAATGGGAAATGACAAATGAGCCGCATGCGTTGTATTAAATTTGCCATTGAAGTAGATATGTTGTCGGAAATATTATGATCTCCGCCCCCCTTTATATCACTGCTGGTGTCGGGCCGGAGCATGCTAAATGGGTAATTCACCATGCCAAGTTGAGAATTTGCCCAACCAAGAGGGCAGGGCCCCCCTAAACTCTCTTAATTTCAGTAAGGGGGCTGAGCCCCCACCCCCGAGCCCTCTCCATGGTACCATCTCCATGGCAAAGGTCTCATTTTCAGCCAGACCCAGATCCATCAAAATACAGTTGTTTAGATCGAGGGGCAGTTCAACCCTATAAACAGCGTACGAGATTGCTGCCAAGGAAGAAGAATTGAGAGTCCAAAAAGTTGTTAACCTTCCTCCAGACAAGAAGATCCCAGAAGGCAAACCTTCCTCATAAAACAATAGAAATTGGGCGTTGCTTGGGTGTGTCATAGGAGCTTCTATTGTTTTTGATGGACCTTCCTCCGGTCAGTGACCGTGCGACCGTAGTGTTTTCATGACTCTGGAAGAATTTCTGGGGATTTACCGATAAGAATAATAGGATTTCTCGCAAAGTGGAATGAGCACTATCTTCAAATTTTTTATATTTATAAAATTTTCAATGCGTTATGATATTAAGCGCAATTAAATTAGTAACCTGGAGAACAACCGCGATTTATTAGAATTCGCGTTATAATCGTTGGTTAAGGCGCAAGACGTTGAAATACAAAACATTGCTGCGAATTTTGCGAAGGAATTTTCTCAAGGAATACCATGCTGCTAGCATATTTTGCAAAATTACCAAAGGGTTCCAAAATGATCCTAAAAACAATAACTGATAGAGGCTAATCGGCAAAAGCTGACAACAATTGACAAAAGGTGACAAAAATTGACAAAAGGTGACAACAATTGACAAAAGGTGACAACAATTGACAAAAAGTGACAACAATTGGCAAAAGGTGACAACAATTGGCAAAAGGTGACGACAACCACTTAAAATTTTCAATCAAATCGCCATATTGGCTTTCTTATTTCAAAAACTGATTGTTATTGTGAATGATTACTATATTCCTTGTACGCATTCTTTTTCATTTATTTATTCCGTACTTCTTTTACATTTCTATTTTTTCCTTACTTTTTTCGTCCAATAACTAATACTTCCACACCATAGCTGCAGCTGCAAATTTGTTTTGTTTCTCCCAACTAATTTGCCAAGGTAATATTTTCTTTAGGCTTTTTTCTTGAAACTTTTTGACATAATATTTCAACAACTATTTTCCACGTTCTAAATTAATTTTAAATTATTTAGCATACCCTTGATAAAAGAGGTGTATTCATGTGATAATAGAGGTGTGGCAGGACTTATTTGACAGGGGAGAGGTAGTTCACCGGCGGTGGCAATTTTATTAATTTAGAAAGCGACTTCAATATCAGCTTATTCTTACCAGGCCTTGCTGTGATGACCATCTGTGTCGTATAAAAATTTTCAAAATCTGTAGTCTGCGATTGCGGGGTCCTTTAAACAATTTATTCACTTTGAAAAGCGATTTAAGGTTATTGTAATATCGATCATTACAGGATACGTGTGAACGGGGCCTATGATACTACGCTTCGAAACTAAATTTTTTGAAAAATCTGCCACCAGAAATCTCATTATATCCTGATAGTCCGAATTCAAGAAGGCTGCGGGCGCCAAACTGAAATTCTTTGATACAGATGTTTGCTGTCAGTTTCCTGGGCGTTTCGGTCGGTACTGCTGTGGCAGTTTAAAGTTTATAGAAATCAAATTAGGAAAGCAATATCCTGATACGAAATAAGCTTGGTACCTTCATTATCTCTATGAGTTCGTCTTAAGTTAATATTATCCTTAATTAATTAGATAAGCGCAGAAATCAGGCTTAGACAGTATTTTTATGATTATTTTGCTGGAAGAAAACAAAAACGAATTGTTCTTGACGAGAGTACCATTTTTATATTTTGCAAAGTGAACGTTTGGTTTTTACGTCATAAATGTCGGTTATAGTGTGTATTGGTGCAGCAAAACACCCTTTAGTTTTACTTTATTTACTGTATGGCTTTCTTTGTTTCTCTTTTTCTTAACTAGTCTTATGCAAAGTCCCTTGTAAACCAATGAAATTTTAGAATATTTACTGAATTAATTTAAAGAGTCTTACTGAAGTATGACGATAAACAAGACGAAAAAGTATTCTAAAATGAATTAGTCTTCTTACAAACCCCTTTGGGTAAAATATCATGTACAAAAAATATTGTGAAATTGAGAAGTTTAATCTTCTGACTTGCACGGCTGTTTTTACATTTCGTAGTCAAAATCTAAAAACAATTTGAATAACTTCTTAACTATTTGAACCTTTAAAAGCAATTTCAATTATGCTTTAAATTGGTGCGCTAGTTTCATGGCAAAAGCCGCGTCTCAATCCCTGAAATGGTAGACAAATTTGTCATACATTATTACCAAAATATTAATCCTTAATACCTTGCAATACCTAAATATTTGTAACTACCAAACGGTATAATTTCCTTTACAATATCCTCTTATTGCCTAAACCTGATAAAATTTCCTTAATTATTTCCTTATACTTTGTAGATAAAAACTTACATGCAAACAATAAAAAATCTGAGATTCGAGAAATTAATCTTGTTTTGGTCACTCCATGTATTTAAATGTTACCTCGGCTTTCTTTGGTCATAGCTTTGCTTTTTCAGTTACTAATAAAATTTATTGTATGCAGTTTATATATGAGCTTCATTACTTGCTGTGAGTCAGGAAATGTTTAACAATTACATATGCTAATTGGTACCCATTCTTTCCTTAAAGTAGCAATTATGTGTCCTTTGCGTCGTAATACAGTGGCTTGGTGACGACAGCTTTATCGTTCTCTTCTTTTTTCAATGTTAAATGTCTTTTGATGCTTGAATAATAACTATATGGGATTAGCTTCCTTTTGTGAATTCAGCTATTTATGGCTACTTTTTATCTTTTGGTTTTCCTTTGAAAAGAACCGTTTTGTGAAAATGGTTTTGAGGAGGCTGTTTTTTCTAGTATTGTGAATACTGGCAGCGTACAACCATGGGATTGGTGCAACGTTCTGGTTAATGACATAAAGTCGAATATCGTCAATTAGTCGTGTAACGTGTGTGAAAAACTAATTCGAAGTAATCGCTAGCTTGAAATACTATGATTAAGATTTTTCATGAGACTCGTTGATAAAAGCAGTTTTGTAATAGGCCATTAAAAAATTATCATATACAAAACATATATAACATAGTATTGGAAACCAATAACTATCCGAGGCACATTTCAATCTTCTTCTATGCAATTCTTCAATTTTTAGCTTCTCTGCTCTAGTTTGCGATATAGAAATGTCTTTGCTCATCAATTTATTGCCTGAAGCAAAACAGCTTTGCGCCCATCTTTAAAGCAAAGTACAAAGAATTAATCAAAATTAGTTTTACTTTTCTCCCTCCCCTGCGCAAAATTACGTTGTTACTGTTGCCAATGCAGTTTTGCCCTAGGTGGGTTTAGATTTGCAGTTTTCCCACTAGTTTTATTTGCTATTTTGCTGTTGGCCTGCTTTGCTTCCCTCGGTGACTTTTAACTTTATGTTTAGCAGTTATAATTTCTGTTTTGTAGTTGAAAAAAGCTGACATATTTATGTAACTGGATTTTTCTCGAAATTCTTTTTACGTTTTTCTTTATAACTATTTAGATATCAGGGACTTTTCAGGGACTAAAAAAATTTTGCCACTGCAAGTCATGTTTTTCTTATTTAACAGAGGGTGCATCGGGTTTTTTCTAACGTTTGACCAAACCATTGACAGCAAATGTCATTTGTTTTGCAGGTAAAAAGTTCTTCCAGGAGACTGGTAGATTGGATGCTATCCGTAAGTCCGATATTTTTAAACTTCTTCTGTCCTTCACTGATCTCAAGTTGCAGAATCTTGTTGATGCAATAATTAGCTTAAACACACTTTACATGCATTTTGTTAAAAGCAAAAAAGCGCAGGACAGTCTGCTGCTTAAAGCAAGGTATGAGATGACGTAGCTCAAGGCATACACTGTTAGAAAGAACTATTATTTGTGCTAATTGAGGATCGGCATATATTTTAGATACTGCGTAAAACCAAAGGTACTGCGTAAACAACTGAGAGTTTGTCTAGAGTTTTTTGCGTCAATTTATTTTCGTCAATTATTCGCTCATTCAGTTTCAATTATGCAATCGTTTTTGAAAAAGTAGCCAAAATGGAGTCTTCCATAGTTACATACTTATGCTAAAAACTTGGTTTTTTGTTTAGAAATAACGCTCAGCCCGTGACGTAATTTGATTGATCAAGGTATTAGGGGTTATATTTCGAGCCGAGAAAGTCTAATGATAATCTACGATATTTGTGAAAGTGTAATGGAGTTTTTAACTTTATATACAAGAGAAATTTATAAAGAGGCTGGTCATATTGCTTAGATTTCTGGTATTCAAAGTAACCATCTACTTTCTGGTGCTACCATGTCTACTTTTCTTCCGATGCAGTTATGGTAGTCTTTGACATTATAGCTTGCGATGTCTCCCTGGTTTTTTGGACAGATTCTGAAAAGCTAAAATCGAAAGAAATAAAAATAAAATTTTTTCACTCAAATAAGAATTTGGGTTAGGACTATAATTATTTTTTTCCTGTCTCCTGGTGGCCCCATTGCAGTTTTAAGACGTTTATAACCAGACTTTTATTGTTAGACACTAAGTTAGATAGGCATCCTGGTCTTTGCTTACCCTGCTAGTTGATTAAAGACGCATAGCCAGTTGAAATTAAAATTTCCATTTGACATTGCTTTCTCCGTTAGATTATTACGGGAATCTGTGGAGATAATATCTCCATTCTAGAGGAAACGGAAAAATTGAAATGGGAGCTTTTATCTTCTTGTAACTTGTAAATTAATTTCAATAAATTTGTTAGATTGAAAAAACAATCAATGAATTAAGAATGTGATGTTATGCGCTGTGTTCGACAATCAGAGATAAACATGTCAAGGTGATTTGGTTCTAACGAATTTATCTTGGATTTGATCAATTGCTAGAAATGGTAACAGAATTTTGTCATTTTTGCTTTGGAACCTTTTTTAAGTTCTTTAAATTCAAACTATGTTTTAAACCTTTAAATCTTTTGTCAAAATATAGACCTTTGATAAAGAGTTTTGTATTCATAAGGACAAATCAAGAAATCTTTTCCCCAAAAGTCAAGTATTGTTTTCCACAATGCTTAATCCAGCTATAAATACACTTGGCTATTTAAAAAAGATCCCTTTTATAACTCAGGTAACGTCCAATAAGTGAAAAGTTTCAACTTTCCTTTCTGAAACAATGTGATATTAGATGCCACTGACAGTCTTCAAGCTAATCTCAGTGATAGCGTGCTTTTTAAAATTTACTTGTTCCTTTATGGGAGGCCAGCGCTAATTGAAACAAGTATTTTTCACTCCCGTTGTGGCATTTAGCGAGGAAATCCTTTGCGAAGATCTACCACCAAATCTGATAAACAATCTCACTGCATTTTCTGAGATCCTTGGTTGGTCTTTCATCTCCGTAGCAATTTCATTTAGCTGATAAGCAGAAGAGATTAGATTCGATTAACCACGTCATATTTTAACATTGAGCTCTAGATAGAACCCAAATTTACATGCTTTGAAGTTGCTAATGATATCTGCAAACAAATGTGCTATCAAATTTTGCTTTCAAGAACATAGAGCTTAGACAATGTAAATGTAGAAGCATAATTTGCTCAAAACAAAGACAATACCTAATCAGTCCCTTTTATCACCTTTAAAGAAGGCTTAGACAGCCATAGATCACTAGCTACAGAAAGGGTGAACACTTTTCTGAATTTTACTGGAACCGGAGCATGCTTGGCCTAGCATTTTTGGCTACTTTATTAGAATTTCTTCATGTCGGCATTATGGTTCTCTATCTTGAAAGAATTGAGCGTTTTTGTTCTCAGGAAGGTTCGTACGTTCAAGGTGACGGTATTCAGTACAGAAAATTCCTGGCATTGGATAAACTATATGAAACTACCTTTGAAATGTAGCAGAATGAATGCTCGGTGCCATTCAAGAAGCCTATGCTAGGTAAAACTCCGGTTTGGTTTTCTATTTATTCAGCGAGCTCAATGTAAATTCTATAATTAGCCGTTATAGAAATATTTTTTGTTTTGGTTTTTTCAAGCCCGGTGTTCTTCGGGACCTACATTTTCAGCAAAACCTTATCACTATTGCTATGGAAAAGCCAAACTTATTGCTACATAAAGGGATGAAGAATCTGCAATTTGTTCCCGTTAGGTGGGTTCTCGCGGTTTTCAGGCGGGGGTTTCTAATAACATAAAGTCTATAATCCGGGTGAGGCCCAGCTTGAATCATAAAAGAAAATAGTCCCGTACATCTGTGTGATATCCCACATTCATTCAGCGTGCGATTGTTATTTACTGTGGAAATCAATCTTCTCTCCGAGGCTGTGTTTGACCAATTTAGAAAACTGTATTAGATTATATCGTTGATAAGAGTGAGCCAGGCTGTATCCACGGCAGCAAAGATAACATATCCTGATCTCGTAGCTCCTGATCCTAATCCAATTCCTGTTATGTCCCCAAAACCGACATGTTCTGAGTTTATTGGCTCATGATATTAGAAAACGCATTTCATAATAACCATTGATTAACAAAGTAATGAGTTGTATAGTTACAAATGTCGTATGCGTTTATTTAAATGAAGCAAGGATATTCGTTCTCAAGAATCTTGCTTTTATTATTAACCGATTAAGTAATGCTGCTTTCGGTCTTAAACGTGTGCGGGATGGTCTGAATATACATCCGTGATATTCTTAGAAAAGGGTGAACAATTTGATTTTCTTACGATGGTACTGCGATTTATTAAGTTGTCATATGCTATGGGATTTCAAAGATGCATATACCGACTACTCAAGTTTTCTATGTAAGATTCTTTTGGTCTTTTAGAATGCCAACACACTCTCATTTTTCTTTCTACGGACCCGGTTTTTCGAAACATATTACAGACCATTTTTGGTGCAGCACTCCAAAGAGAAGAAAAATTTAATTAACGACTAAAAGATGGGCAAGAATTCGCAGTAAACATGGGTGGATTGAAAGTGGTCAGAGCGAATGAAAATCGTGTTTTATTGGTCCTACATTGACCAATCGATGAAGCTCTTGATGTTCTTGAGTAGGCAAATTGATAAAACAACCTTTTTATGTTGCGACCACCTTGCATCCTTTGATTTGATACTGACGGATTTTACGCTGAAATGCTGTCCTTTAAGATTTGTGTATTTTTGCGTTCGTTTTGATGATAGATGGAGTATTAGAGCGTCAAATCAAAAGCTTACCTCAAGCAGCAAAAATTGAGGGAAATTTTCGCACGAACACTGATATTAATAATATTTAGAAAAAGTTTGGATTTGATAAATATGGATAAAATTCTAATGCAGCAATCACAAATTAATTCTCACAATTTTAAATATGTTTTAGTAACTGACTGATCTTAATTAATACTTATCTAATGCCGAAAAAATTACGGAAACGGAAATAGTTTTTCATGACATAATACACATTTTGTAGATGAAAGAGCTTAATACAACCGTGTATCTATTCTTGCAACTTCTTTAAGCAAAAATATGCGTAGCCTAAACTAAAGTTTATAGAAGAATGACTTGTGGTTTGACTCGATCTTTTCCGCTTATAAATATTATTGTTTCTTAAACTGGTATCTATTTTTGGTAAAACAGCAACAAATTGTTTATACCATGGATCACATAAAATGTTTCACCAATTAGTTTCGATGTTTAATAGACAAATGAAGCTTTTTAGTCAACGTTATTTTTGTGAGAAACACGAAAGACAAACCAATTGTTGTTTTTATCTTGTTAAGTCAATTGTAAGTTTGTTCTAGGTTATTTACTAAAGCATTAGCAGTTGAGCTTCAAATACTCTATTTGACATCATTATGTTCAAATTATATGCTGAGAAATTTTCATTGATTCATATAACAGTGGCATTTGCAGACTATTCATTTATCTAACCTTTAAAAGTCAATTGATCATTAGTCTCAATTTTTGACATTTTTCGCAAAAAGAAACTTAAATTTTCCTCATTTCATACCATCCTATAATGTTTGATTATTTAAGAGATTAATTGTTAAGGCATTTATGTAATTTAGTTTTGAAATGCGACTTTCCAAATTTTTAAGTTTTTTTATTATCTAACAAAGTTTTCACCCATTTCTGTTTTTAAATGGGGCTTTCTGTGATAAAATCTTGTAGTTGAAAAAATATTGAATTACGTTTCTGCAAAGTTGAGATGCAAAATTGGCGGCGGTTCTGTTGAAGTAAGAAAGCAACCAAAGATAAAAGAATTAATTATTGCAATCTGTGATGTATAGCTTGTTATCGTATTTGGTATGATGTTGAGATAATAAAAGAATGGTCTTTCTATTATGATGGCTAGTTACTAAAGAAAATTTTTATCTATGTCTTTCTGGCTATAAATTTTCAAGAACCTCTGATTGTGATTTAACATTCTTTTTCTTACAAAGAACACTCATAAGAAGACTTACGCTTGATTTAACAAACACTTAAAGCAGCGTAAGAACTAGAAATGTAATGCAAAACTATCTTTGACGAGCTATCAAAAAGTAAATAGATGTAGAGAATACAATTTTGAAATAAGAACGAAATTAAGTAAATCCGAGACTCGAATTATCCAAGGAATAATGACATCGGGCCTCGACCAAAATTATCTGGTTTTTACAGAAAAAAAGTGTAGATACCTTGAAAGCTGAAAATCCATCGTAGAAAATTGCATAATTGTACATTCGCCTTCTTCTTCTCTAATGTTTTATGTTTGATTTATTTATTTGAATATAAAGTAGTTGGTAGCAACTATATGTCGATAAGGCTCAGATTTTGTTGTAATAGCGCTCACGGCCATAGGTTTGCTTTGGTTGTACATGTCTACGTGTTACCACGGTCATTTTTGGCATTTCGTTTGGAGTAAATGATTCCTCGACAACAAAGAATTAAAGGTTACAAAATGATACAGTTGAATCTGTAAGATACAAATGAAACAAAAGACTTCCTAGCACGATAAGTTATAAATTGTTGCAACCAGCAGACTTTATAGAAGATAAGTTTAAATAAAATGTATTTACCCTCTACTTTTCAAGTTTTTTGTACAACATCTGTTTGTTTTTCGTATTGCATTCAATTATACCTTATTATTATTTGCTTATTTTGTCTACGTTGATATCTTAGTTAATTTTTCTGTTATACACCATAACCAGGTAACTTGAGGACAGTTCATCTTGCCAGTTGTAATGTCGATATAGTTTTATCTCTTCAACATACAATTTATCTTCGTTTCTTGTTTTGTATGATATGTATTTACATATATATTTCTTTGGTAGTTACGCATATTTTCATTAGCCTAGCCTACATTAGTAAATTAAAACTTTTGAAAGAAAATTCTTGCCTTTTCCATTAATTTGAGAAAATTAGAGAAAAAAACACTTGCAGCTTGCTTGTTATTGTTATGGTGCGAATCAATGTTTCTGTAGCAACCTAAGAAAATCGTGAAGCTTCTGAAAAAATTGAAACTTCTTCGCCTCACTCGCATCTTCTTTGAGACGTCGAGCGATGACAGAGAGGCTCAGAATTTCTCATCTATACATTATGTTAGTTTCTTTTCTCTATTTTTTGTTCTGGTCGAGTATGAATTTTTAAATTAAGTAAGTAGAAGAGAATACAAAATTGATTGAATTAGGGAATCACACACATGCTGGTCACAACATTCTGCTTGATTGAATTTAAAGATTTTAAACAAACATCTGCATAAAAAACAAGAGTGTATACACTTAAGAAAGATTTGATGGAAGTGCGGATTAACAGTACTTCAAAATAAGCCACGAAACTATCCAAAGTGCCTTTCGGTAACGTTGTGATTACATCCGATCTTGTAAACAATATTAGCTTAGACCTTTAATCGCATTCAGGTGGACAATCAAATCGCTAGCTGTTTTGATATTGTGCTCATACCGTTATATCATTTTGCATCTGTTTATGTTGAAACCAACATTTCAGGTGGAGGGTTTTGTCTCAACATAATTACACGTCGTAAGCAAATAACGAAATACTCAAAGAGAAAAAGGCTTTTAAACAAACTGTTTATGCGCTCTTCCAAAGCTATTGCGTTTTCATCTACGTTTGAAAAGAAACGCCTGGCAACTATCAAACGAACAGAACGTAATTGCAATTATTTCATTTGAAAGGCTATATTTTATTCTGTTTAAAGCTCGTGCCTTCTTTTGCAAGGGGAAATCTTTAACATCGAGTTTTGAATTGTTTCAAAGAACTATCGCTCTTGCTGTCAACTCTTAAAGACTTGGTATTAAAGGTGAAACTCTCAACGATGTTGCTTTTCACTTCCTAATATGTTGCATTTCTGCTAAAAAAATTGTCAATTTCAGTTGATGTTGCTGAAGTTTTTGCCGAAGCAACTGTTCTCTAGCTGTTAATTGTAATGCGTTGTATTCATTTGCTAGTAATATTTCTTCGGAACGATCAAAAGATCCTAAATCCTATCACTTCCTAATTTTCATTTTCAAATTACCGTTTTGAATTTCGTTTTAAAAATAGACCTATTGATTAGGATTTCTGTTTGAGAAAAATAATTCCCTCTTTCCACTAAGGCAATCCAGATGTACCACAACTTTTCAGTATATGAAATGAAAGCTTCAAATACATGCCTGGAAGTTGTTCGCGATTATTTTAACAGAAAGCCATTAGGTCACTCAGCCTGGGATAAGTAGGGGGGAAGGCAAAAATTGTGTAAGGGACCAAGCAGCGATAACAAAGTGCATATCCATGATACAAATCTGTTGTTTCTAAAGGCAAAATTCTCCTGAAATGGGTTAGGAATACGATGCTTTGGCGATTTAGGCATTTTCAATAAGTATTTAAGTAAGAATTCAAAATTTTTATTCCATGCCAGGTATATTTGGACAACAACATTTAATTTTTTTTGCACTGTCAGAATGATCGACAGACGTCTTCTCAAAAACGAACTCTGGAGTTGCTTCCACGCAACAGCTCGCCTTTTTCTATTTTTTTATTTTTGAGCATCAATCACTGTGTTAGCCTTTTCTAAATTCAAAGATTTTTTGTTCTCTCGAAATCTTTACGTTTAGGATACACATTTTAAAATACATTTCTAATGCATACCCTAACTACTATTCCTTGATTTGTAGAATAAGTTTGTGTAAGCAGCAAAAAATGCTACTTTGCTTCGTTGGAAAATAGCAAGAGTAAATGTACACTCACAACAGCAATGATCCCAGGCAAGAGTCTTGAAGAACACCGCATTAGATTACGTACATGAAAATAGTTACATTAATGTACAGAACTAAAGAAAGTTATCATTAATGCAAAGATATTATAAAAAATTAAGACTCTCTAAATAGGCACAAGGCCTGAAAGGAAAGTTGCCATTAAACACCGAACTCAAATCACTTTAGCTCTTCGCCTAAAACAAGACTTGGTATACTACACTGGATTTTTTTAAAGATGTCGATATCTATTGGATGTTTTTCAGAACTTCAGGATTAACAAATTGAATTAGATACTCGTGTGATGGCGTGTTGTGTCAGTTCTTTTTTCTCCTGAAATTTAGATTTTTCTTAGCAACACCTTAGCTGCGAGGCATTGAAATGACTTTTGACAGACTGCATATTTGATATAATAATAATAATAAAAATTCATTTATTTAAGGTTGGCGCCTATTGCTAGCTCACATGCTAATTTGAGCCAAATTCAAGATACTATAATAAATCAAATCTGAATTACAATCGAGAGAATACTATTAAAGCATATAACTATAAAAACCCTGAATTACCTATACACAATCTACACAATCTACAACTGCAATCAAAATCGTAGCTTTGACTTTTTCTTTTGAAGTTGTTAAGTGTCTGGGACTCTTTTATAGAGGATAGCATAGCATGCCATATCCTAGATCCAAAAAAACATGCACTTTCAATACCATAACCTGTTGTTTTTGGTTTCGGTGCAAAAGTATTTCTGCAGCTTCGAAGGTGGTAGGTACGTCTTTCAGAACGGAAATTTGTTTCATGAAATTAGGATTGAGATTGCTTTGAGTTTTAAAAATTTCGGTAGCAAGCTACTTCAAATTTCTCTAATCAATCAATAGCTGGAGGGTTACAGCTCATTCGAACAGTATAAAAATAATTTAATATTGTGATTAATATAGAAAAATATAAGGAAGAGTTAATCGTCATAAGAAAGATATTTTCTTTTAGACTATGATTTTATAAAGCAATGACAACAGTTTGTTTAGATTATTGTGATTGATGTAATTACGACATTCGCGTTTTTTTTCGAATTAATGCTGGGCTGTGGAGATTTTGCCAAACGGTTAAAATATTATTTAGCAGCCCAGCATATCGGAATATCATAGCAATCCATCGTCTAATTATCACACGCTTGTCACTGCAATATGATTACTACACGTGTCTTTGAGTCTGTCATCACAGTATCCTCTCTTAAATATATTTTGCCTATATTCTAATTTTTTCACTTTATAGGTTTTTCCATCGCAGTTACAAGCCAGATATGTTTATCTTTGCGAGCATTTCAAGTCAAGCTTCCAGCATGCGAGGTATGATTTCAAAAACTATTCAAGAATATGTAATAGTGTGGTTTAAAGGCAGTCTGTCCCCTCAATGGTTGGCTAATATGAACAATAGGTCTTCCCGCCTTAATGGATAACGGATTACGATGCTTGCTTTGGCTGGCCTAGCTGCGGTAGCGGACGACATTTGAAACTGTGAGCAAAAAGCTATGGCAAGAAGTTTTAATTACTGGAATTGAATGATGATAGTGGAAGCATTTTTTTCGCTGTTGACATATCTGTCGCAGAAACCAGACAGGGAGCCAAATTTTTCTAGCCTCAGCTTCACTGCAATGGAAACACAGCCATTTGATTCAAAAGCTCTGGAATCAAAGTTGTCTTTGATTGGTTTAAATCGTTTAATTATCGATCAAGCTCAACGGTGCATGAATTTTACTCCCGTGAAAGTAAAGTTGACCACAATAGGGGGCAGACTGCCTTTAAATCGTGTGAAATTGTTATTGATCTTTTTTAAACACCTTCTTTCTAATATAATTTTACGTATCATTTAATCTCTTTTCCTTTAATACATTTGTCTTTTTATACAATTTCTGAGATTTGTCAAGAGAAGGTCTTGCTCTGTTTGCGTAAGTCCTTCCAAAACTCTTTATTGCATAAAATATTTTGAGGTAAAAGTGAATCACCGCCCCTGATAAAGAATTGTTTTCTTTGCACATTGGTTTTTAATAACAAACCGATTGATGAACGATTGTCATTGTTCATTTCTTATGGATTTTTTCTATGCTATTTGCATATGTTATATCGGTTGGTACGCAACACAAAAAATGAGACTGCCTGTTCTGCAAAATATTTCAAAATCAAGCTTTAATCCTCTCAGATTCTTTATTGAATCACCACATAGCACATACGGCAGAACGCTTCGCTGGTGTATCATGTAACTGTTTGGCCAGTTGACAGTGTTCAGGGTAGGGTGCTTGTGAAAAGGAATCTTCATTTTTCTCGCCTAAAATCACAGAAGACGATTTGATGGTTGTAACACCTAAGCCCCACAGTTGAATGAAGCGCATTAAATTTGTTTTTTTCAACGGATTTCCATCCTTTGATGAAATTACATAATCGTATCCCCAAAAAATTAAGACCAGTTTTATTTCTGTAACATAAGGAGGGTTTTGAAAAAGGAATTTTCAGAATTGTCCAAATTTTTGTCAGTCTTGAGAAGGCTGTATGCGGGATGCTCCTTAAATTTATGGCTATCTCTCTAAAGACATGACATTTATGAATAGGTTCATCTGATTCCGTGGTGTATGGCCCTATTTTGATTCTTTCTCGTACCATACTTTTCCCGGATCCTTGTTGATCTGTTAGGATTTTGTTTTCCGCGTGTATTTATGTTAACCGTTGCATTCTTCTTGATATCTGAATACGTTCCATCAGACACTGCAAACAAAGAGAAAAACAGAACAGCTGCACGTGGCTGAGCATGCTGCCTTACAATAATATTGACAAACACATTTCGTCCGTGTTCCCGCACTTATTTAACTAAGCAAATGTTCTCTTATCAATTAATAAGTCATCCATCATCAGTATCCAAATTTGATTTGTAAGACCCGGATCACTGATTTTTTTCATAACACAATTTTAGTTTCTAAGAACGAAATGGCTATATTCCTAATAGCCACGAGTTTACAGTTTACCCACCCCTCTGTAGAAGTCGAGGCTGTCGATTTGACAGAAAGAGTTCTGGTTCAAAGTTTTCGCTATCATCAACATGACTCTCTTCTTATAGCTATTTTTTTAAACTCTTTGGCAATAGAATAGATGATTTGGCAATAGAATTAAGACAGAATAGAATAGATCGCTCATAGCCAATAGATTGTTTTTCTTATTAAACTTCCTTTTTCATTTTCACTCAACTTTTTATGGGATTTATGTAGTAAAATTATTTTGGAAGTTGGATTACGGATCATGTTCCATAGCCCACATTTCACATTATCGTAGATTTTTCAAATGTTCGTGTATATTCTGTTTTGGGGCTCTATCAACTTAGTTTACTGAGCCGTTATCCATTCCTCGTCTTTCTTCCTGTCGAACCTTTGTGACTCTTATCTGTTATTTCCTATGGTTTTAAAGAGCAAATCACGTTATCATATCGGATGGATTGGCGGCAATATCTTTTTTGCGCTTTTTACAGTGTTATGTTCCTTCACCCGCCTGAATGAGGCTCCTATTTTTATGTACAATAGCCGAGACATCGTTTCCTTGATTTTTTTTTCAATTTGTTGTCATTTCCTTATGTATATAAATCATCGTATAACAGTTCAAAACACTAAAAATGTTACAGTACATTGCCTAATTAAAAGCAGGAAAAGAATCAAGCTTACGTGACACCCTACTTTAAATGATAGTTACAACTTAACTACTGTTTGCAATCAAAAGAAGCAGTTAATTTAAGAGGGTTTGATACAAAATAGCCAAGACCTCTGAATTATCTTTTCGTTGACATGATATGGCTAGCCAAAAAGTGTTTCTCAGTTGTAATAACACTCTGTGTAATCTCCATTGACGGACAGATCTTCATAGCGGACACCTACAAAAAAAGGATAAGAAATTTTGCTTAAAATGTTTTGTTTAAAGGCACTATGTCCCGTCAGTCAAACGTTCAGAGTTAACAATAGGCGTTTATGATCGAGAAAACATTGCGGATTAGCCTTACGTTGCCAGTGGGGAACGTAACAATAGGTCTGTTGTGTAGTTCAACCAATGGGAATTTAAATGACCAGCGAAATGCATCGGGATTCGGAACATAGTACCTTTAACGGTCAAAGCCTTATAGAAGTATTCTCAAGGTCAAGGACATCTCCCAACAATGAACGGAATCTCTGGTTCGAAAGGTGTCTTTTTCATGAATGTGCTACTGTAGATGGAAGCCGAGACTTTCAATGATTATGCCTTCATTACAGCAATAAAATGTGTTCTGAAATAAGTTTCTTGATATGGAATAGAGAAGAAACCTGATCTTAGCGTGCTTTGTAAACCAAAACCATTTTTTTCGAATCGATCAAGGCCTAGTGAATTAGGTTCCTCGTGTTACACTACTGACCTGATCTTGAACATTTCTGATAAAACAATTCGCTTCCAAGAACAGTTTCCCAGCTTTTGCGGTGGGGTGAAGGTTAGGCCGCAAAACGGTAACTGTACATCACCTTAATGACTATAAGACCCCTTTACGTAAAGCTGCATCGATAATCATATTTATGTCTTATTTAATTTTTCTCTCTTTGTTCGAAATCTTTAAATCACAGCTTATTTTAGCGATGTGCCAATCCGACAATACAAAAGAGCCGTCATGTTTGCATTGAGATATATTTCTGATTTAGAGTAATCCTTACTGATACTCCTATCAACATGTCGCTGTCTTTTGAGAATCGTCTTTGCAAACTTTCTGATCTCTAAGATAAACAGGGATCGTTTGCAAGGGATGAATTCAATCACCTTTGTCAGATGCAATCATTTTTGGATCGTATTATTTCTGCGTAATATTTTACAATGGATTAATGGGTGCCTATTGCCGGCGTGTGTAATTAAATTGCTAGGAAAAAGAGATACCGATATTCTTGATTATGTCAGTTTTCACTGTATCTGCTAATACAAGTCTACAGTTGATGTTCAATTTTGAAAACTGTTTACGGAAGAAAGGCAAAGTCCGTTCATAGATGGATCCATCAGGATCATAGAAATATACGACTTTTATAGTGATTAGCTGATTAGTTAAAATATGTTAATGATAACATAAGAATGATAACTATGCTGATAGTTGTAAAGGAAGGCCCTTCTCTCTACAGATTCTTTTTCATGGCTATCTATGTTCTCAAAAATGGAATAATTCTTTTTGAATATTTTGTTGACCCAAAAATCTTACATTGAAAGAATATTTGTTTAAGAAATAGGAAAAATAACCAAAATGACATTTTAAGTATGTTTGCTTACATTAAACCAGAGTTTAAGACACAATTACTGACAAATGATGAATTTGTTAAGGTTTCTTTCTTAAACCTAGTAACATGTTGTTTATTATGGATGAAGTGCTTTACCAGGTAATTAATGCTTTTTGATGCTAAAATATTTTCAGAAAAGCATAGATTTGATCTGTACAGCCATTAGTTGACCATATAGATTACACAAGACATTTTGGTTTAAGGCAATCAAGTTTAGTATTCTAGAGAACTGCACAGGATCAATGCTATCTATTCTATTTCAGGATTCATTTACCTAAAAGCTTGTAAATGATAGCTTACTGCCCTTGAGGCAATCAAGATAAAAAGATTATTTGGCCGTCCTAAAACAGAATTTGTTATTCAATAAGAATTCCTGAAATTCTTACTCATGTAAAGAAAGATTATCTGATTGTTAGCTTGTAGAAACTTCTGTTAATCGCTTCCAAGGCAATATTTGCTACATTTCATAACACTGAAGGGTCCTAACGATACACACTAACTTTCATTGTGTTAGACCTCTATAGCTAATTGCCATGAAAATCTTGTCACTTAATACTAATTTCTATGAAAAGTTCAAATTATTTAAAGAGGCATTCACATGGATTGAAATTCTTAAATGAAAAGTGGAATTGTCATGAAATTTGATTTTCAACGGCATTCGATTTACTATAGCATTTTCTGTGTATAGAGGCACATTCAATCAAACACGATAGCTTTGTCTGCTCATTTCTGCAAATTTCAGCTTATGCTCAAAATAACGAATTTGGTTTGCACACCTGCTCAAATCTGTCTCTAACTTGGCGGCCATTATTTGATTTTTATGTCTTTTCTGCTACAGTCTACAGTCATTTTCAAAGCCATCCATCGAAAACTAGGCTTTGGAAAGTACTCCAAAAATCTCAAACATTTGCTCTAATGGAATACAACTAAAATATCGACACTAACTGCAATGGTTTTTTGAATTTCTGTGGTAAATAGAGTCAAAATTATTTCTTAGGCATAATTTTCGGTAAATTTTATATTTTAGTACATAAAAAAGTTCAAAACCTGTTACGGTTTATTTTACACCTCTCAGATTCGAAAATGACCTGATAATCTGTGAAGAGTAGCATGCTCCAAATCTTTTGTCACATTATGATACATAATCTGAATCACACAGCATTACTTTATTGATTCATCTTTTCGTGTTCTGGCGCACCTCTTTTATGGCACATCTTCTAGGGTCTATGCAAAATACAGCTACACCATTAGATCTTGTGGCGGTAGATATGCGATGTGGCTGAAACACATTCTTACGTAACATTGAATAGTATAAAATATTGGCAATGAGACTGAGGTCATTTGATATGAATTCTTGAAAATCATATTTTCTTCCTACCTTTATAAAACAGCTTGTGATGTCTTGTTACAGGTGAGAGATTTCTGCAGCCGTATTTCAGTACTAGAGAGATTTGCAGCGCGGTCTGACATGGTTATTGATGGTAGCATACTTGAAAACAATTCATGCATTCTTCTTCCGAGGTACCTTATAAGATAAAGTATAATATGATATAATCAAATTTGATATGATATACAGTCATATTATATAATATGATTTACAATAATATGATCTAAAATTAGGTTTAAAACTGTGATCAAATGAAATTTTACCAGAGTTAATTTCACGAGGGATGTTGTAGAATTTGATTTCGCTAGGGTTCTTATTATAGCTTGTTTGTATTATTCTCATTTGGGTGTCAATTGCCATGCTTCAGTTTGGTAATTAAGTCCTTATGTGCTTCTTTGATGCCATTGGGAAAAATAGAGAAAAAGGAGTTCTGTAGTTTGGGATTCTGCACGAAAGTGTGGTTCTCTTGACTCAGATGGGTGTAATTAATTGCTTTGGGTCGGGATGATCGTACTTATTTCGTATGCTGTTTCCACGCTCCCGTCCCTCCCTCCCTCCCTCCCTCCATCCCTCACTCACTCACTCACTCACTCACTCACTCACTCACTCACTCACTCACTCACTCACTCACTCACTCACTCACTCACTCCCTCCCTTCCTCACTCTCTCCCTCCCTCACTCCCTCCACCTCCCTCCCTCACTCCCTCCACCTCCCTCACTCCCTCCACCTCCCTCACTCCCTCCACCTCACTCCCTCCACCTCAAAACTCCCTCCATCCCCCTCCCTCACTCCCCTACCTCCTCACTCCCTCCACCTCCCTCACTCCCTCCACCTCCCTCACTCCATCCCACCCTCACTCCCTCACCTCACTCCCTCCACCCTCACTCCCTCCACCTCCCTCCCTTCCCTCCCTCCCTCCCCTCCCTCCTCCCTCCCTCCCTCCCTCCCCTTTCGATATCAAGCGTAGTGTGTTTCTTCAAATCCTTGTTTATTCTTTTGTATTAGGCTAGGGCCTGTTTACATAAAGGAGCTTATTTCAAAGTTCTTGTTATTTTCCGTTTAGGAAAGACTAGGCCCCTTATTCATTCATGTTTTCTCTCGCCCTCTCAGGTAACTTAGGTATCTAAAGTAAGACTGGTGCATCGGCTCTATGGTTGGGAAATGTGAACTTCTCTTGTCCATTCCCTGCCCAGAACATTGAGCTGCTTGTACTTGAGTCTGTTAAGCTATATGAAAAGTTAGATTTTTTGTATCGGTTAGGTGAAGCAACTTGTGTCGATGCACCAACGGATATGATATGATATGATATGATATGATATGATATGATATGATATGATATGATATGATATGATATGATATGATATGATATGATATGATATGATATGATATGATATGATATGATATGATATGATGATATGATTGATATGATATGTTATGATATGATATGATATGATATGATATGATATGAATGATATGATATGATATGATATGATATGATATGATATGATATGATATGATATGATATGATATGATATGATATGATATGATATGATATGATATGATATGATATGATATGATATGATATGATGTGATATGATATGATATGATATGATATGATATGATATGATATGATATGATATGATATGATATGATATGATATGATATGATATGATATGATATGATATGATATGATATGAAATTTAACAATCATGACTTTATTCACTTTGACACGAATGCAAAATTTGTAAAATCCTGTAATCTTCAAATTACTTCGCAGTACAAAACGTGGTTGGCTTGCATCAATAACGAAGAATATTCCAAATTCATCTCCATTTGAAGACTATTGCGATTTGCGCCAACATTGGAAGCTGATGGTAAGGTTTCAATGATAATAAACTGTAGAAATTTCAAGATCTTAGATATCCTTAGAAAATGATTAGACTTAAGAAAAAAGCTCTATAGGCTCTTTTTCTCATTTATTTGAATTCATTTTAGGAGGAAAGCCAGTTATGAAAGTATTATTTTGCATCTAGCCATTATTCTAGCCAGGAAATTACAATATTACCAAATCAATATTCTGTAATACGTAGATGAACCTTAAAATCAACTTGCCTAAATCTATGATGATTATGTGATAAGCTTTTACAAATTTCATGACTGTCCTTTTAGTAGGTGACTGTTTCATTTTTTTAAAGCAAGCCCATTTTCTTCATATTTCTAGTATGGCATACATTTGCCAGCAGAAGGATGCAGTGAATTTTACAACGTAGCTTCTTTTAGCGGTAAGATATACACGTATCCTTTCACAATGTAATGTCTCTATTTAACGTGACAATGCCCATTTCTCTCTCAATTATCGGTTAATGATCCTTATTGTTTCCTTTTAGGCATTCCATGTTTTTTCAGAGGTATTTCTTTTGAATCAAGCAGTAGATTGGTGTATATTTTACCTTGGTCTTAATTCAGTTCTTAGGCAATGATTTCATTTCTAATTCATACTGTCATCTGAACTTCTTTTCAACTATTCAATTTTTATTTTTTTTTCGTAAGCTCTTCATTTATGCTACTTCATTATTTTGCTCGAATGTTGCCACAATTTTACTCCTTTGGGGTACCTGAGCCCTTCCAATAGCGTAACTTTCCCGAAGTGAAGCAGCAAGACCTTGATACAAACCTTCTTTTAACTCTGTTTTTCCATTACCTTATATGCTTAAAATACCGCCACTTTCTGTTCATATTGCCTTCAGATTTATATTGTTTCTTTTAGCCTGCAGATGCTCTAAAACGCTTGAGAATTTGCCATTTTGATTCCAACAGCTCGAATTCTGTTTTAGAGGTCTTAGCCGAGGTTTAGTTGGTTACCTTTAAGATTTTAGCAACAGATGAGCGTAATAAAAACCTCTATAAAAGTAATTTCATATTAAGATTTCTCTTAACCCGTTATTCAAGATACCCATCTTACTGTATTAGGAGCTGCGAACCAGTGATTTTCTCTCGATGTAACAATGAAGATATTATGCAATCTTTTATGCGAGACTTTGTGCAGCGTATGCCATCATTCTGTGGTATACAGGCAAGATTTAGTAGCAGTACACTTTTTCCAGTGGTAAGGCTTATATATTAAAACATATTCTAATTGAAGACATTTCAGTTACAAGATTTAATGCCATTGATACATCGGCTTGGATATTGACCAACGATATTGCTTAATCAGAGATCCAACTCCGGGGGGAGGGGGTGGTTGTGCCTTCAGTCACTCTCCAAGTCAATTTAATCAGCTTTGGAAAACATAAGTATAACAACTCAAGGGAAAAACGTCAATTTCTTGTCTTCACTGCTAGCGTGGGGGGGGGGAGGACTTGAAAGATACAGCTAACCAGCAAAGACATAGATGAGTGCAATCATGCTCATATTTTTCATTTTTCTACCTCTCTACCTCTCATCACCATTTAACCTCTCAAGATATAATTGAGGGGCTTGTCAAACCCCCTAAACCCTTCCGTCAGATTCACCCAAGTCTTGTAGAGCCATGATTGTATTTTAATTTTTTCATATTCAGCCTGGAAATTTGCACATGTCTTAGTCACATTAGCGATGTGCCCACTTTGACTGTTGGTACCTGAATCAAACAAATACCAAAGACAGGCCAAAATCTTTCACTATAATGTCATCCTTATTCTGTACTTATCAATTTTGATAATAAGCATCTTCAGTTTATTTTTGAATTCTTGAGGTTAACTGGGTAGTTCAAAACGTATTATATGGCTTTGACAGGAGACAAACTTCAAAACTTCAAAACTTACCATTGTAACGAAATAAAGAATTTAGGGTTGCAGGCTACAGCTAAAACGTAGTCTTCATATCTCATAGCTGCTTTGGTATTACATGATGCAGTATATTTCCAAAGTGTAGAGCAGAAAGTGCTTAGACAAAGAACTGTATAGGGTTTTTTAAAATAAACAATGATATTATTGTATTTTCTTAGCTATTTAGATTAAAAGAGGCCCTTTAAGTTTTGAAGGAGGCTTATGAAAAGAATTTGATATCCATCCACACAATTTGAGAATCAATAAGGCTCTTTCGTACACTTATGGGCTCCATAAAAAATTGAGCTGCAAATATCCACAAAAAATACATTCTATCACTAGCTATGCATTAGACGTATATAGAAGTTTCACTGTTTGTATTAAATTTCATTTTCAATTTCAAGTCTTAGTCTGGGAGATGAATTGCTAATTAATTAACAGTACTATTACCACGACGTTTCTGTTAAACCAAAAGAACGAATTCGTAGCCAACCGGTTTTTGTTGATATTCTTAATCCTCCATTTAAGGTTGCTCTTTGTGAGGCCAAGAAAAGCAAACACTTTTTAAGTACCAAAGCAAAGCTCAAACAGTTTAATCGTTTGGATCTTCCTGGATACAACAATACAAGCACTACAAAAACAAATATTGATGCTATTAATCGACAAGAATCTGATCCTCGAGGTAAGCACACATCTCCTCCACTTTGAATGCTTCTATTTGATCCATCATGTTCATTGGGATATGATATTTATGATGATTGCAGTGAAAACCATAGTATCTTTGTTGCACCATTGAACCATTAAAAAAACTAACAGTACAAAGCTTTTTCAGGAATGGTAATTAATTTCGCCTGTGACTCTTTTCATTTTTCTCCCACTTTTCTAGCATTTCCTAGAAAAGTGCGAATTTAATAGGGGGTTTAAATTTTCCTTTTTTTATCTTGAAACCTTTCTAGAAAAAATGATATACAAGCATCATTTAGAAGTTGGAAATTGTACTCAAACATTTCAAATTGACTTTTTACATTGAGTGTCAGTTTCAAAGTTTGAGAGGGTGAAAGGGTGGTGAGAAAATGACAAACAGATTAATGATTAACCCTAATATATAAAATTAACTTGCTATCGGCAACATGCTTTCACAAACGACTTAAACAAAGAAAAACAAATAGCAAATTTACTACTCTGCTGTCAAACTATGAATGTTTCAGCACTTAATTTTTCTAATCATGACGCTGCAGTCAGGGAAAATAATAACGTGAAAATCGAGAAGGCGGTTAGAATCTTTTCTGAGCCATTTTTGAGCAGTCTTTGCTTCTCATCCAGCTTGTTACTCACCCTACTTGGTTACGCACAATATTCCTTTTGACAATTTTTTAAGATTGCGCATATTTGCACCTATTTTGAATCATAGAGGTTGAGACATAAAATATAAAAAAGTTAAAAAAACGGTCTAAAAAGTCATAAAATATCAGATAATGTCTGAAAGTTGAATGGAAATTATACCCAGATGCCGATCGGAAGTTGTGCGAGCAGAGGAATGGTGCGTTTGATTGGTTCCTTGTTTTTGACCAATCGGAGGCCGCTAGTCGTTCACATAGAGATTTCTTAGCTATTCAAGAGCTTGTTTAAACAACCAGCCTACTATTGAAGTTAAATTAAACTCTGTTTTGCTTGATACTACAATATTTTCTATAAATTTCAATCCTCTTTTATATACCAAAGCCATTAATTTTGAATGTCTTAGGAGAATGAACCTTTAGCAAGAAGTTTGTTTTCAACGGCCTTGAATCTATTTTATCTGCCTTTCAACGGCCTTGAATCTAGTTTTCTAGGCATTACTCCCAAATTGTAGCTGATATCAGGTCGAATTGCCAAGTCTCCTACGTGCAGTTGCCAGCAGCTTCCTTCACGTTTGATATAAACCGTGACCTGGTGCTTGTAGAAGCTCCATGCTTGTGGTTGCAGAGAGCTCGCTACGGTTTCGAAAGTCAAATTTTGTTTTCAGACGTCAGCTCACAGTTATTTTCAAATTAGGTGTTCAACTGGCCCGTTTTTATTCGAAAAAGTGACCAATTTAGCAAGTTTTTGCAGTCACTTGCTTTTCAACTTGGAAAACGTGGCGCCTCGTTAGATATTATCAAGAATAGAATTAAGAACGAATTGTTTCAAATCAAAATAAGTGTGACTGTTCATAATAAGGATGATGGGAGATAACAAGGGAAAGAGCCGCTCCATATTATCAGCAAAAGCCTTCATACTGTGGCTGTTTATATTCGTAACCTTAGCTTGACCTAAACGATTCATGTGAATTAGTTTGCTGATTTCTTCAAACTTGTCCGAGAACAGCGCCCCGACGGCCAAACGATTGTAATATTACTACAATGTTTTGCCAAGCCAAATGCTTTTACTCGAGACACTGTTTTCGGTTATGGCTTTTGCTGTAGAAGTTGGCAAAGTTTTTACCCATTTTTTAATCAAATTGTAAAGAAACAAACGCCCCGCTACGTTGCTCAGAATCATCAAAAGAGAGAAATTGTTGTGTAATTCATAGAAGACTGCATTGTAGCTTGTTTCTGTAACGTGTCCCACATTTGTTTTTTGTTTTCTGCAATAAAGATTCATTCCCTTGATTGTTTCAAGCCATTAGAAAATTACAAACAAAACGCAAGCTCTTTCAACCCAGTATTAACAACGTCTGTCAAGCCAGTAGTAGGCCGGGAAAAATATCGGGAAATTTTATGGTTGTTAAAGCCAATACGAGTGTTTCTATAGGTCTAACAGCAGATATAAATTTGCGGTCTTTGCATACAATCGTTTCCTTACCAAAGTTTGGTTGCTTGTGAATCCTAGCATAGCCAGAAATGATAACCAAACTTTTTTACATATTTAACTTTAAAATTTGTTTATTCTATTAAATATAAACAGTAAAGTGAAAGCTTTTTAAGACGTTTAAAGCAATCCACTCGTCTCATAAAAGTGTTTCCGATACACAAATGTCTTAGCGATAGCTCTTAAAAACTACTTAGCGATGACTCTACAACTCTTCTTCGTTCGTTTTGTTTTTGATTATCGTTACAACGTAGTCTTCGAGGTTCTCGAGATCCTCTTGATAAGGCTGCTCCGTTACAAATAGGTTAACTGCATCTTCATAGCGGCTTGAAGAACATCATAATTTATGACGCAATCCCGATTAAAGAATTTGACAATTTTTGAGAAAATTTCGCAATAAGAAGAACTGTCCGTTTTGCAATAGAGGCAATGGAGGCTGGTATATTTATTTAAATTTCCGCGATGTTAATCTGAAGTAGTCATGTTTGAACCTTTCAATCGATGTATGAACCATTTTTGGAGCGCCGCCTATACATGATGATCAGGTCGCACAGAAAAGCCGAATATGAGTGGAATCAGATCGGCATTTACGTCAGGAGTGCCATACGCTGATCTAGATTTAGAAAGAGAGAGAGAGAGAGAGAGAGAGAGAGAGAGAGAGAGAGAGAGAGAGAGAGCGGGGGGGGGGGTAGTAATGGATCTATTTGTCAATGGCTACTGTGCAAAAGGACTAAAACAAAGTATTTGTCTTTTTTTGGGTGCAGAACAGGGTTGAGCTGCCCAGTTTGTAGAGCAACAAAGTATACTGTCGCTGGTCACAGGTTCGATTCCTGCCATGCGTGTCAATGGCTCACACTTCTCTTTGTATATATGCATTGCTGATACGGGTAAAGTTAAGGCTGCATCTTATATACGATCACGAGTAAGAAGGAGCTATATACGTACTGCTCTCCCTCAAAAGAAAAAGACTCATATGGTCCAAGACTTACAGTTGACCAGGTGCCCTGAAGAATCAGAAATGGTCCGTAATGATTTCAGCAAATGAGGCTGAACTTTTCACATCAAAAGTCCCTTCAATTTTGTAGCTCAAAATTAAATGCTAGAATAAATCATTGGAAAATTGAATTTATTTAGTTTGTCTACTGTCAAAACTAGTATCTAGATTTTTAATCTTTTTCCATCAGATTATTTTAGTTTTAAAGAAATTTGACAGAAAACCGGTACTGCAAAAAAGTAGGGTTGCCTTTGAATTCATCAGACAATGTAATTTAAAAAAATTTACGACTAAATATCAATTCAATGTACTTTACAGATTGGTTTTATTTTTACAGATAAGTTTTCACAATACACAAACCCTGCAAATTAGGCAAGCTAGAACTGAAATTTTAAGTATCTAATTTGTATTCAACCGTTAGATTGGTTGATCATGCTACATTTAGCGCAAGATAAAGGAAACTTTATTCGATGATGTTAATGAGTCGTGTAAAATCTTCACCTGTGTTGGTAGTAAAGACTTCATTTCTTGAACTTAAGATAAGCACAAGAAGCAAGGCGATCGTACATTTTGCAAAAGGAGATTTTAAAATCACACATTTTCGTGACAACAGATATAGATTTAAACAACTTCAGTTAATAGATGCAAAGGACACATGTTTCCCTGCAACTTTGAGGCTACCAATTTCTTCTTTCAATGGGCAATTTAACACGATAAACAGCTGGTGAGATCAATTATTAGAAAGAAGATAAAGATGACAGATTTTACTTTCCCTTTAGGCCAGGCCTGTCTTCAGAAGGAAAGGTAATCGCCGTTGGTGACATGAATAGCGATTTGCTACACGCAGAAAATTTGCGAAAAATGTTTTTACGATTGGTTATTTCCTAAACCTCCACTACGTAAATAATCAAGTCAAATCTCGGCACCTTTAAAGAGTCTTAAATAAATAGCGATTCTCTAAAAAGATACTCTTTTGCTAAAACTGTGTTGAAAACAGTTGATGAGAAACCGACCAAAATGTTGTTGTCAATAATCTGGTATCAGTTTGATGTAACATTTAATGCTACTTATCATTCCGATCAACCATCAGTACACACGCATTTTTGATAACATACCATCTATATGAAACAAAGCCCCAAGGTAACCAAAAGACCAAGAAACCCTAGAACTGATGCATCTCGACCTTAGGAAACTGCTTAAAAATTCTTCTGTAAGTGAGTCGTTAGGAATTATTATTTCAAACCATTTGGGTGCTCAAATGTTTTAAAATCTTCAGCATTTGGTATACAAGAAACTTTCCTACGGCAGAGATCCTTTTTTCCTTTTGGATTTCGAGAGTGGTTGGGTTTCAGCTAATCATGTTTCTCTTGGTTGATATTCTGATAGTGAAAGTATCCCTTAAATATTGAAATGAAATATTAACCGTCCTTTTAAATCCAGAGTCAAATAACCTTATTTTCAAACTAATGTCAACAATTTTGATAACACTATTTTCTTCTCTTCCTAGCATCTCAGGTCTTCCCTTATACAGAGCTTTGCTATCAGCCCCCGTGGCCTTTTCTTAACATAATAAACCTAAAATTTTGTTGCTACAATACGTTCATTACACAAAAAGTCTTTGCAGAGTACAATACCGATCAATTTATTACGAAATATTTTGCTATAATTCTTGTCTAGGATATGCAATATTTTTCAGCTCATTTTAGTTTCATAAATTTTTGCATATTCCTTTATATTTTCCAAAAAATAAACCTGTAGAATTTCTATTTCTTTCCTTAAATTATTCACACGAACGTTGCTCTTATTCCATCCTTTTCATCCAGGAACTTTTGAAAATAAGATTCAAAAGCTATTTAGAAAGAACTTCAAAGCGCAAGTTTCGGGAAACAATTACTGTGCGGCAAATTTCTTTCTTTTCCACGGATTTCTCTGTCTAAAACAATTAAGTGCCAGTTTAGTACACTCTGAAACTATGTAATTTCATGAAATTCCAAAAGCCACGCTTGTCCAGACTGTTTAATTTGTTTCTCGCCGCTTAAAGGGCACCATAATTGTAATTTAAGAATTTAAGTGAATAACGGAATTTTCACCCTGTCCACTTGCAGCCAAGCAAAAAAGCACATAATGTTAAGAAGACAAGCGACCAACTTCTTAAAGCTAAATATTTCCTTTAGCAAATCAAACCCAAATGAGATATATCGCATCAGTGTTGGAATTAGAGAATTTCCTAGAGAAATAAAATTGTAACAATAGAGATACAGGATCTATAAGATGTTTTTAACCACAAACGGTCAAGGTGATCCGCCCATGACTGTATTGTTGGTCAGAACAGACCCATTTTTAAATAGACGATTTACTTTGGCGTGACAGCTGACAACGAAGTTGCCGCATTCACACAATTTTAACAAATCATTTCAGGAATGATGTGACAACTGGACTAGGGAGCCTGCATTCGAGAAGGGCAACCTGGGGAAGCCCCGGGAAAGAGAGCAAAACAAACAATGAAGTGAAGAAAATTCCCCTATTTCGCAAAGCCAAGAGGGCTGCTGCTCCGCTGCACAAATCCACCCCGCTCCCCCCTCCCCTTACTGGTGCTGGGGACTTTGAACTGGAATCTGCTTGCTTTGAGTGACCATACGTAGAGATCATGGTATCTTGTGGTGAAAAGAAGCGTGGGGCGATTCGCGAGATTTCTTGCATTTTTTTCAATGGTAACGCCACTCCAGGGAGGGAGCGATTGATTGCCAGCGATACGTGGATATCATCCGATGGCCTCAATTAGAGTTAATGCTACACTTCAAAACATTGGCTGTAGCTTTCAATCATTCGTACTGAAAATTTTGTGGCATAGTAGGGTGGGTGGGCGAGGCTGACGAAAATTTTTGTTGGAATTAGTGCCGATTCCCAGATTTGCCGACAAAAGTGGCATTCCGAATTCTGTTTCTGGTGAATTCTTGAATCCATTTTAACACCTCTGAAATATCCATGCAAGCAAAAACACTACTATTTACAACAATCGAGCGTTGACAGAATCATGAAAGTTGTTGCTTTTTATATGTTTTTACCTTGACTGGCAAATTGATGCTGTTTCATTACTTAATGAAATTGTTTTAAAGTTTTCAGCTAAATCAAAATTTTTGATAACTCTATCAATAAAAGTTATCTTTAGTACAGAGTTAAGATAACTATCAACTAGTTAACTACGGGAGAATGCGATAAAGTGCACAAACAACAGCAGTAAGAAACGCATTGTAACTCGAAAATGACGCAACGCGATTCTGCCATATAAATGACACAAACAAAGCAGAAACAGTAGATGCTTCATGATGAAAATTAATGAGAACAAGACGAATGACGAATGAATAACAGCATTTGATCCCTAAAACATTCAGGAAAATGGTGCTTGTGGAGATGGATAAATCTTAAAAGAATGACATTTAACAGTAACATGCAGTTAGTGATAGTATCCCACTGGAACCAGTCAAACTTACCACATATCTCTTTGTCCTTGTAGCTTCCAGAAAACAGCTGGAGCATGCTATTTGGATTTCTGTTCGCCTTTTGACGACAATAAATCGCTTGTGTTTAGTTATCAAACCGATCTAGCAATTAGAAGGTCCGGAAAGGGAATTTCTGAAAAGAGTCATCAAATGATATGAGGCTTAATGTTTTGGAGTAGAGAGTAAGACAGAATATAAAATGGCAAAACATTTAATGCAATACTTTGAACAATAATTTCCTTGTGACGAGAGTTCAGTTTCTATTAAAAGTACAAAGTATTTTATTTCAATTTCAATCAAAATATTTACTTCTAATTGCAGCAAACTGATAACACTCACATTATCTATTGTAACTATTATATTGCATTGTAACTGTAGACAAGAAACTCACCATATCAATGGCGTCCTTCCAATAGGACTTTTGCATGACTTTAAATATATATGTTTTCACTTAAGAGTGCTAAGAAGGAGTCGTTAAGATTTTGACGACGTTTTTTGCTGTTTTTCTGTTGTCGGTTAAAAGTGCAAGGGTCATTGTCAGTAATGCAACTACTGTGAATGATGGATTTTATGGATGTTGGATTTAACCAGTCTTCAAAAACTGTACACTATTCAATACACACATTGGAACAAATTACACCAAGCTGAACGTATATATCAGCCTGGTTGCTCAAATTTGTAGCATTCAGTTTTCTGTCTCCCCGACCAACCCTTTGACAAAAGTATTTTTGTTTAAATGAAAAATTGCTACAATCTTAGAATTATTACATCCAAATGGAGCCCAAGATCAAATATAGTGTAGCCACAATCTAAATTTTAGTTCCATACCCAAACAGATGCGTTTCAGTTGTTCAACTACACACTACAAACCAGCAGGTGATAGATTAAGACTTACTGTAGACACATGTTGATGCAATAAAGAAAATGGTTTTTAACAATCTCAAAAAGTTCAAAGAAATAAATTTTCGCTCCTAAATGGCGTCTAGCGTTTCTAATAGGTGGTGACAGTTTTGTCTGATGTAGTTGGATTAGATTTAGACAAAGCAGCCCAAACCATTAATAGCAATGATCTACCCTTGAAACATTGTTTAGTCGAGCTCATAGTTTGCTACTTAAAAACAGTATAGTAAATTTCCTATAAATCAAATAGTAAATTTTATTTGTACGTTGTGCTTATTGGTACCAGTGTCGTGATTAGAATATTTTTCAATCGTTTGCTCTCTCATATTCCATGTCATTGAAGAGTTAAGGATTCATTTCTACAAAAGCAAATTATCATAAAGATAGACTTTGCTTCATTGATGGTGGCTCTTTTTTATAAAGCAACTTAATAAAGGAGCCTACACTGACATTTTAGAACGAATTTATTTTCCGAAACAAAGCAGTCTGCCTTGGTTGGATAAAGCACCTACTCTATGTGACCCATGCAGATTTCTTTTCGTATCTTGATATTACGAGTTTTTGTACTTGGGGTGTGTAATTTTTCCATTAGAATTGTCAATGTTTTTATTGTAGCTCCAAAGAGAGTCACGGAGTCTAAAGGAGACAGAATTGTTCCGTGTTTTGGAAATATTTCACGGGTCGGTGTTGAATCGAAGGAGAAAGAACATGTAAAGGTTCATGATCAAAGAAGAGACATTAAATTAAGCGAAGAGATTAAAGAAAAACATGTAGTTCGCAAGATGTGTGGGATAACTCATCGAGTTGATTCTGTGCAGAAAAATACTGCGGCCCAAAGAAAGAATGGTGAATTAGCAGCAAGTTTTGTCAGCATTAAAGATAAACTGGCCTACTGTCTCGATAGAGAGAAGTGGAAAAGTAGCAATCAGGATCTTGCTTGTAGGAAGGTGCATCAGACTGGCAAGGGTCTTTTAAGTAAATACAGTACCTCTTCTAAGCAAATTTTGATATCTGATAAAAGTTTTGATAGTTTGCAACAACGAAAGAGAAAGCTTTCTGAAAATTCAACCCAAAGAGAGCATTCCATGGCACTTACAAAATTCCCTGCGGTTCAACGATGTCATCACAAGATATCTGAGAAAATTATTCCATCAACTATCAATGCTGCCCCTCAAACAGACAGAAGAATGTTGGCCATAAAATTAGCACATGAAGTTCTTTTGCAAGCTAAATATTCCGATGATACCGTAATGGTGTCCTCCTGTGGCAATGAAGAGTCTTCGGTTGAAGAAGAGGCTGCTCCGATAATGAGTGTAAGTTTAGACGTAATTTGGCTAACATAAAAAATACCATGGCTGATACAACAATATTTCAAACGGCGCCGTTTCATATTTTATGAAAATTTTCGGTGAAATCATCGGTGAAATCGCACAAATTTATTTAGCGACTGCCTGGCAACAACTGCTCCTTTATCTTGCTACCAATGCTTGATCCAGTTTTTACAAGAAAAATTTTGTGATTACTGCTAAGAGGCTATGGGTTTCATCAGCTCCCCAGGCTCTTTGTGGCAAAATTTTAAAAGAGTATCAAATCTCCTTGCTGTCAGCATTATGGTTTCGTTGTTAAATATGCAAATTAAATCATGGGTTTTTTTCTACTCAATAAGTGTAAATTTGTTGCAACTAGCTGTATAGTTTCTCCAATTCAGACACGGGGATAAGCTAAGGTTGTTTTTTCTTAACTAGGTCCTAGAAAAAACGCTGATTCATATGATTTGGGCCATCAGGCTTTTTGTTACATTTCTTACCTTGACGCGGGTCATTTGTTTGTGGCATTCTAATTTGACCAAAACATGTGAAAAATTCAGTTCTTTGAAATAACAAGACCTGACAATTTCAAAAGAATGACCGAAGATTTTGTTTTTGTCTTTCTTTGATAAATAGTTTCCTTCGTGTCCATTTTTTTTAGTTTCAAAAATATAATTTTTTAGTAATAGCGCAAAAGAAGATAAAGAGACATTCCCAGAAAACTTTTTTTCTTTCATTCAAAATGTTATTCAAAGTTGTAGATGTAGTGTTTTTAAAGAATTTCTCTTTATATTTCACTTCCGTTATTTATAACAATAATAGATATCGGAGAATGAATTTTCGCTACTACTCTCAGACAATCAAGCAACACTTTCATCAAAAGCACGGAGAATAAATTTGTCAGAAGCACAAATTGCTCGCACCATCTCCTATGTTATTGCACAACAGAACTTGCTGCATGGCTTGGTCTGCTACTTCTCGAGTAAATTTTATCAGCAAATGGAAATAATACAATGCACTTTACATAAACTTCTCTTTGTTGGCACCGTGAAAGCTACCAGATGTGCAACTGCCAGTCTCCGTATCACATCTTCCTGCGCTGTCAAACATGTTTCAGGCAAATTTAGCTGGCTGTGCCTATTTTCATATTTTCCTTTCCTTTGTTACTGAGAGACAGCTAACACTTCGCGAAGTCATCTGAAATTTTCTTTAATAGTTACAGGAAGAGTAGAGGAGTTATGAAAGTGAACTGAAAACAACCGTCGTACAACGAATTGAGAACACTGCCAGCTGTCAGGCGCGCATGTTCTCCAGCATTTTTGCATTTATTCAATGAGCAGCTGTTTTTTTGCTAGAAATTTTCATTATCTCCTTCTTTTTTCTCGTCAAAAAGAACCATCTGGTTTTGCAAAAAGCTTTCTCTCACAATTCATTTCTACTTTTAGATTTTGGTGATAATTGCTTTTAAAAATCTAATTGCTGCATCGTACTGAATAAGACCATTGACACGTACGATCAAATTGAACTTCCCGGTTGATATAAGGATAAGATACATTATTCTTCTTCAGAATCTCTTCAGTAGAAAACTCTTAAACAGAGGAGGGATGGCCCTAACACTTGGAGGGATGACTACACAAATTGTACATGTAATATCAACGTGCCTCTTCCTTATCTAAAATACTGCCTGCATAACTTGAAATTTTTTTTGCATGCATGGCTCCTTTGGAGTCGAGAGCTAGAATAAGGTAGAGAGTTTTCAAGCTGTCTAATTCTAGCGTTAGTGCCATTGTTAATTGCCCTTTCTGCAAGAAATGTAAAATCTGGAGCTTTATGGTCAATAAAACTGATGATATAATGTTTTAAAGTGTAAAGCAAAACTGAAGACAAAAAAATTCAAACTTATGTTTGAAAAGTTGCTTAATTAAGAACTCTAGAAAAACAAATAACAATCCACCAAAGTTGCCGATCCAAATCCAGCGAAGGATGAATTCATTCAACTCTATTAATCATTCTCTCATTTTTTATCTTATATAGCGAAATCTCATCGCTGAAAAAGATCTTGCCAGTAAAGTAAAGAGCCCAAACACCCCAAAACAACAGTCGAATTCAAGAAAATCAAAGGAAATCAATGGCCTTATGCATTTGAACGATGTAAGTAACTTATCCGTTTTATGAACCCAACGCCTAATATATTAAATCAATGTTTTTTAACTATCTTTATAGCTTCGTGACAGGGTTTATTTCTTTACACAAGGTACTACAATGCTAATACACAGTATATAACGGATAGGGATTGTTGTAGTAAGAACTTTATCGGAAACTTTTCCCGAGTAAGGCACATCACGTATGCACTCTCGCTGGCATTGTGCGGCCTACTTGTGTTAAGTGCAAACATTTCGGGCTTCTCTAATACTTGAACTAAAGCTGCAAATAAAAAAATATCTTCTCTACCGTAAAATTTTAGAATTTCATTGCCAAATTAGGTATTAGAAAGATATTAGAAAAATATTGCAATCTTTGGATCGCAGCTCACGTAAAATTTTGACCAACATGCTGTTTTTTCTCCGAAGAGCGTTTAAAATATTTTATTGCTTTATCAAATTCTCCATTGGAAAAAACAATTCTTAGATCACTGATTTTGTTGGTGTTTTTTATTTTGTACGAAATTGTAAACATACTGTTATTGTTAATAGAGCAGTGATATAGACACACGGAAGCTTATGGTGCGAACCTTTGATAGCTTTAGGGTAGAAACGTCAAGACTATAATTATCTGCTTTTGGTCAACAACGAATAAAGATAGTCAAGATCTTGATATGTCACAATTATCTGTTTCGTCACCATAAGCTGTTTTCTTTTAGTAAGAGCAATTATCTCATATGCTAGGTCACTTTCTTTTGTCTTCAAATATTCTTCTGATGTTAAACTCTCAGTTTCCGCATTTTAGTGCAATTTTCAAAAATCCTTTTACTTAGCAACAGAATTATTGGGCTAATCGAGAAGGGCAAAAATGCCGGTTGATTTCCTATCCACATTGGTAAAAACGCAATAAATGTTTCCAATTCTTTGGGTTCATAATTTTAAAAAAATTTACACTTCTCCGGCTTTGGCCGGTTTGGAATTCTTCCAACGTAATTCCAAAAGACCCTTGTGTGAATGTGTCCTATCTTTGAAACATCTACGAAAACAAATTATGTAAAAAACTTAGACAGTATCTTACTAGTGGTTTAGCGTGAACACTGATACATTTTCTTTAGACTAGAAGATGTCAGTTTTGATCGATTGATGGTTTTTTATTGGCTGGTTTCATGAATAAAACGTCTCACCAACTCAGGTGGTCTTTGACAAGCCGAAAAATAGTCGTTCAAAATGTGAGATTTGGTCTGTAAACAAAACTTATTACGACACAATAAATTCTCTTCTCTTGAAATATAATCAAAAAGGGAAATTCATGTTATTATTTTTGATTATATTTCTTCATTTTCTGAGAAGTATTTTTTAACATGGAAATAGACCTAGCTTGCTTGTTCAGCTTTTTTCTGTAGGGTCTTGGAGCGAATTCATTCGTTATGTTTTCAATTAGTGTTATAATTACTATTTTTATAATTACTATATTAAAAACTATTTTTCATCACCTTTTTTTTGTTTTTTAAGCTGAAGAAAGCGAATGTGACGACGCTGCGTTTGTGGTTGAGAGAGAAAAACATCAAAGTGAAGGCGAATTCTAAGAAAGAAGAATTGATAACACAGGTTCAAGAGTTGCTAAAAATTTGTCAGGGTGAAGAATAAGCTTTTTTGGTTCAACACTCTTCTTCTTCTTCTTCTTGCCAGCTTCTTGCCAAGTGCAGAGAATTTATTTATTGCTTCCCATTCTTTTCATAAAAGATCTTTCTCTTTAATGTCCATATTTATATTCAAAACTATATTCAATCTATAGATAGTGTTATAGAGTTTTGACAACGTTATTTGTGTATGTCTGCCCGACAAAACCTTTTTAATAGAATTGAATGTTGTGTTATTGAGGTAGGCCTTGAAAATTCATTAAATCCAATACGGCCAGCACTCAATAAATTGTAGTTGCATTGTAATAAACATGTTTATTGACATGGCAAATCACATTTACTTAATTTGTTAGTCGAATGAATTATTGAAGCAAACATGAGATCATGCATTGTAAGATTTGTAAATTAACATTGAGTTGATTTCTCAGTTAAGCATGTTATATAGTCTTCCAGATGAATTCTACATGTTTGCTATAAATTTTCCATAACATGTGAGCCAAAAATTATGACGTAATGTAAACCCCGTACAGAAACAGAGTCGGGTTGCTTTAGACGACAAAGAGTAAGCAGAAATTGACAACAATTAACAGGTATTTTTGCTAAAAAGTTACAGAGGAGGAGCCTTTGATGCCTCCAAATTGCGTAAAAATGGATTTGAACCACCGATCGTCACGTTAAAGATCATTTCATCTTTGAGGAAGGTGGCAGCTCAGAAATATTCTGCTTAAGTATAGCTCTAGATTTGACTTATTTTTGGATGTCAGGTGAAAAACTTTTTTGGGTGAGGATTATGAGATTGTCGCTTTTGTGTTAATACTCTTTAGCTTAAAAGTTAGCAAAAAACGTTAGGACATCTTAATACGAATTTTAAAAGAATATTGCCATATATCAGCACAATAAATTTTCTGAAGCTCGAGATTTATTCAAATACGAGAATTGGCTTTAAGAAATGATCAACTATGTTCCGAGCTGAGACTTTATTGAGCAATATTTATAATGAAATAGTCTTCGTTATATATTGACCTTCAGTTTAAACTAATAAAAATATATTATTGGGAACAGTGGCATAAGTTAGAATCACTTGCAAAATATTGATTTGGATAACAAAAGCTGAAATTGCACAATTTTCTCACCAATATACTGTTTACAAGATCTCAATGTAATGAAATGAGTTATTGGCAGAGTTTTAAGACAATCTACGTCATCAAGCATTTTCAAGTTCCAAATAACATGTTTTATTTTGAAAAAAAACAATACGAGTCAGCAGTTTTGTTTTGGTATGTTTAACCGCAAATTGACTTTTTTTCATTGTTAAGATCTCGATGACTGCCAAAAAATTATTATTTTACCAGAACATAGTTCCAGATGTATTTGGATCGACCAACTATGTTGTTAGTGGTCAGGTGTTAGTAGAAAAGAGATAAACGCGGTAGGCACTGTGGGAAGTATTTTTCGCTTCTCCTCCGCATCTACAAACGTGATAGATGTGAGAAGCTGAGCTATAACTGCACTGTCATTCGGATCATAACAAATTTTTGATAACTCATTGGTTACATATGTCCTGTACTTAAGGGTACTACTTTTGAACCTCCAAGCTTTCTATGATTTAAGAACCTATGCACCCTAAAATACCCCAAAACAATATTCCAGTTTCTACCAGCTACCAACATCCCCCCCCCACTATCAAACCAACGCAATAGTTGTGAAAAGTGTGAAAGCGGACAATAACAGAGTATTGATGGGTACAATGCCTGTGAAAAGTGAAAATTTCGGAACAAAACCATGTGACATGCACATGATAAACATCGTTTCATTCGATTTAAACATTGCTTCGCTAGGTGGATTTAAATTTTTAACAAAATATGTGATAAAGGTAATATTTTGATGCAATTCCTTTCATAAAAGCAAATCTTGATAAAATAACAGTTAACTAAGCCTTTTAAAAGTGATCAATTCTGTCATTCTATTTATCTGTCATCGGAAAAGTTTTAAAGTTGTGAATACCTTGTGAGTTACTTAAAATATCTTTTGAGACAATTTTCCGTTTGGAGCGAAATCACTTGATAATTTTTAGATTCCTGATGAACATTTTCTGGATAATTTATTTAATTTTTCAATCAGATGAAAAAAGAATATTTTAAGCAAGTAGTCCTTGATGTACATATTTGAACAAAACGGATTTATCTTTGATGTTTTGCAAACAGTACTAGCGAATCATTCATTGCAGCAGATGTTTTCAAGATGTTTTCTATTCAACAGCTGTTTACAGTTTGAAAATTAGCACTTGCCTGTCAGACCTCGGCTTTGTGTATGTCTTTTATATCCTCACGATTCTAGCCCAAAGGTCCGGAAAATCTAAGCAGATTCACTTCCAAATAATTGAAGTAAGCAAATTTAATCAAAGGAGAGAATGCTTGCATTGAGATGTGAATTTGTTCTTTCTTCATGAGTGATTGTTCCTTATTTCTTAACATTGTCTTTTCATGCCTTATGGAATCATATTTCTATTTTCAGGGTAGAAAAAGCAATTATAAGAATAATATTATTATTGTTTTATCAATGAACTTAGTCTATCATTTGCTTTCATTATCATAAATTTTCTTCCTTTAATTATTTCTTTATAAAAAACAAAAGGAAAGAATAAGCGAATAAATGTCAATAATAGGTTTCTTGAATAAAATTTTCTAGATATAGAAACCAAGAGAACAAATTATTTGGGGAAAGATAATCAACTAATCAAGGATTCTTTACAAAAATCCATTGTAAATTTTTCTCTGTTTGGAAAAATCTTGCAATTTTGCAAAGGTATCAGAACATTTTTTTGTCAGATTTGAACCTTGTCTAATAGAAGACGATCGAATCGAATTTCCAAATTTGTCTACGTGCATTTCTTCTAGTCTGTATTTATCTTGTATCTTTTACCTAAATTTGCCAGAAGCATTTTCTAAAACATCTTGCTTGTTGCAACAGTATCCATATGAGGCGCAATCTATAAGTTCTTTGTTTACATTGCTACTGTCAATGTTTGCATTGATCTCTCAGATAAATACATATAACAAGTTTTAATTATTGCTGATCGGACCATTTTCATTTAGTTTCTTTTAACCTAGTTTATTTCGCAAAAATCTAGACTGTATATACAATTAGGTATCTAGCAAACAAAAACAGGCACCTTAAAGACCACACTGACAAATGCAATAGCAATCGTGATTGCGTTTTGAGTTTAAGGTATGCTGATGCGTATGGCATTGTGCATTTGCAGCTTTCAACAAAGAAGAAGCAATGGTACATCGTCACGACCATTGATTGATAGTCCTAAACCCAAGCCGCAAACTCCATCAAGAAGACTATTCGGCATCATGAATTCTAATCAACTAGGTTTCAATGTCTACAAAGAACTATTCAACAACATCATCGAGGGCTCCCTTAGAAAACGATTTGTCTATATCTATCGGTAACAGGAAATTGAGTGCTTTCAACAAACCGACTTAATAATTTTACACAATTTCAGGTAAACCGAAAATGTAAGTTTGTTTGCTACATTACTTTGTATTTTGGCTGCAGATCCTGCGTAATTGAGCATAAGGCAATTTGCCGCATGGATAAGAAGTGCTCATTTTATTGTACCCAGCTGCCTTCGCCTGAGTAAACCTTTGAGAAATAATTGGATTCTTTTCACCTCCAACCGCAGTTCACTCATTTTCCATCCTTCTAGGAGACCACTCCGTTGTTTTTCACCTTAAACCATCCAGAATTAGTTTATTGCACAAATCATTCTTACCTGATCATCATAAGATCTTAAATAGTTTTAATCAACCTAAGCAAACTCTCCACACTTCGAGTACCAAGGCGAGCGGCAGCACTCCTGCGATCTTCCCTTGAATTTTGCATACCTTATCTTGTAAACTCCTTGACTGTCTTAATGCTTGTTTCACGTGTCATTGAAGATACCCAGCTTTTGTGATAACCAAATATCGATTTAAGAAACATCGGAGAAAACGCACTTTTCTAAGTAATGGAAGTAAAGTAGGTTGACACCTGTACAAAAGTTTCCCTTCACAGATGATCCACTTTAGAGAGTTACAAAAATGATACTATCATGTCTAAATTCAGCAGAATAAAGAAGACAATCAGATCATTATTTTCATTCGAGTAGAATTACAGCTTTGATTGATCTTTTATGCCAAGAATCGTCAATTTCTAACATAAAGCAATTCTCCATCACATGTTGACTAAGACAATCGATGAAGTTACGTCTTGAAAATCTGGACAAAATTATGTCTGCTTTTTTTACAAGGCTAGAAATCTGATAAAAATACAGTAAACGTAAGCTTCCTATTCCCTCGTCACCTTGAAAAGCAGTAAATGCTCCTTGTTACTGCCGGCTCAAAGGCATTAAATGTCTCCGTGACTTGCTCTCTTTCTCGAGTGCAGGGAATTTTTCTAATTGTCCCTTGGGAATTGACGCAGTTGCCAGTCCCCGCCATCACACGTTCACTATCGATGTCGTTGCTTGCTCATGGCCTAAATAAGAATTTCAGCGTTAACACTAGTTTTAAATTTAAGATTCGTTAACAAGTATTGAAGGTATTGAAAAATACGAATAACCATTGGATTGCGGAAAAATTTGGTGCCGTGACTTCTACAAATAGTAAGTACAGCGTTTTTATTGGCAATTCTGCTGCAATCATGCTTTCTTGTAATAAGCAGCCATAACATAAATTAATGCTGTAAAGGATAAGTGACAGTGAAATAAGGCTCACCTGCCCGTAAAGAATCAATTTATTACGCTAATTCTATGTATTATTGATTAGCTGCTATGTTCAGCTTCACTTGGCGTGGCGTATAAAAATAAATCCCTTTGTTAGTTTTAAGTTTTCTTTCTGCTTTATGCTGGTTTGCAGGACTATGATCTTGATTCTTAGGCAAGTAACGTGCGCCTTTACTTCATTAGTTGCTTTTCAATATCAGATAACATAAAAAATGTCAGCCAAAGAGCAGCATGTTTTTGTTTGATCAGCTATTTGAATTTTAGAACAAAATACCATCGTTTATACAAGATATTAAGTATCTACACACTGTTGATTGGCATATTTGTTAGCACCTTGCATCTAGAGGTTGTGCCTGGAATCAAGAAAATAATATTCCTATCAAAATGCTGTAGAAAATCTTTTTTTGGAATTAAGCCTGAAAGCTTCAAAACGGAATTAAAATATAGAAACCAAGCTTTATCAAGTTTTAAATATACTGGTAGATTTCATGATTTCACTACAGGCAGCCATGTTAAGGCGATAGTCTCTGCACTGCAATTTAAATGCAACAATCGGCATATTGGCCTGTTGTTGCTGTGTTACATGTAACTATAGTCTTTTGTGTAATTAAGCCAAAATGTATGTTGATTTGTATGTATGATGCCCATGGATTTCATCGGGACCTAGTACCTTTAACCAACAATTTCTAGGAGATAAGCTTTCACTTTACTTGTTTGGTAACATGTTTACATGAAGTAGTGCTACATACTACAATAATCATAATCATAACCATGCTTATGCAATTTTTATGAAACTTTGCTACACATTGCACTCACATTGTGGCTGATAAAGACACTAGGTGTATACACAACTGTAATTTAGAAGGTATTCCCTCTACATCGTTTTTCACCTTGTCGTTGTATTGTTTGTGGTCTGAGGTTTCGGCAGTCCGCAAACGATGGATTTAACATAATCATATAGAAGTAAATTATCTGTGTATTAATCCTGTATCTCGGATTAGATAGAGAGCTTTGGAGATTGCAGAGGCGTAATCTGAAACCACTGAAAGTCGAAAAGATGCTAAAATATGCAGAATCACGGGTTCGTGAATTGTTCGGACAGTTACTCAGTGGACTTCATTCATTACCTAGTGCCTCGTTCCAACTGCATCGACTTTGCTGGCAGCCATAATCAGGCATGCGTCAGAAGTTTATTGTAGGTAACACATCGTGACCCCTCCCATCAATGCTGATATATTCATTCTGCCCTATCTTGTCAGTCATCTGTTTATATCAATAACTGCAAAAAGCGTGTTACAAGTCTTTGACATAGTAAACCATGGACACACACGATTACTCTTTAGGTCTGTGGTTTTTGAAAACTCTTACTTCTGATTTATTGTTGGATTTCTTATCATTCCAAAATCAAAGTCCATTAGATCTGAAGTGGTCCTAAACCTCTCAACAGAGAGCATAAAAAGACCTTATTACTATCCGCTTACAATCTAATCTCTAGCTGGTGGATGGTGATGTTGACTTACATTACAGTAAAATAAACATTATAAAGCTTATAACAGAGTCATTGATTGGGACATACTTATTTTGTTAAAGGCTCCTGCAGAGCTACGGGGTTAACCCCGCCAATTACACTCTACAGTTTTTCATGATTGGATACGACCTTTTCGAAATTTTGCCTTTTGAAAATGTTGAAAACACCATAAAAGTTAAAGCGCAACAAGACAAAACTGTCTTTGCCTTTAAAGGAACTGCAATCCTATTTGTATAATAATTGTTTTCCCGTTTCGTTTTCTATGCACTTTTCAGTTGTTTTAATTCAAAAAATATTTGGTTTACATCGTGATTTGCCAATAAGAAAGACGGCGGGTATGAAAGGCTATGTTTTCTTGTCATTGTGAAAAGATCTTACGTATATACGTGCTCTCTCAATATGAGTTCGTAAGCCTCTTCTTTATAACTCGTTTATAAAAAAGCTTCATATTATTTAATAAATCATCTAGCTTTGGCAAGCAGCACTTTGCAGCAAACAAGAAATCTTGTTTGTTATCTAAGATAAATTGATTTGCGGTTTTGCTTGTCAATCATCATTGATTAAAGAACAAAATTATTTTAATTGTTTATCGATTTGTCTAATATTTCGGCTATTTCTTGATATTTTCCCATGAATTGCAGTAAAAAAGGTCGTTTTATTTGCATTGCAACGTAACACAGTGTGGCACTGTGTGCAAAAGGCTGTCGACTTTTTATGTTAATGATTTCTTAAAATTCCGTAGAACACTGCAACATTGGTCTACTCTAATAAAGAATTCGTGTTTGTCGAGATGTAAAGCCAAGGCAACGCATGGAACATTCATACAGCAAGCCAATTCATTCTCTTTGCAACACGTGTACATAAAGTCTTTCCGCGTTATCCAGGGGTCTGGGACTTGCTCTATTACACCTAACTTCAATAAAATCAGCGAAATCGATGTTCTAGTCTTCATATATTCATCATCTAGTCTCCTTCGTATTTTGGTCTGAAATAATCGGTCGATTTTAAACGATGATTTCCTTGCACTCGATATTAAGTGATTTTCTGAATCTTGCTTCGAGCTTTTTTTCCTTTTCAATAACGAGGCCGAAATATTAGAATGACACGTTTCCAGACAATTAAATAAAGGGATTGTTGGTAATTCATGCCAGCATTTGTTCGATGCCCATTGGCTTTCAAAATTTTTCATCTTTTGCATATGCGATGTTAGAACCGATGATGTTAATTTTCACATCGGATAATGTAATCTATTGAGAGAATGGTCATGGCACTTATCAGAGTAAGCCAGTCTAGAATCAAAATACGAAGAACGAAGAACATTCAAAGAAAAAACGTCACGAGAAGAGTGGCAATAAAACTCTGGTTTCACCATGACATGTAAACTTTTCCACAAGCCTTAATAAGCATATGCATATGTTGTACTTTCTCATTGGTGTAGACAAGTTTGCAGAATGACATTCCTAAACAATTGAAATCTATACTCGTCTCTCTAACAAGGGACTGGGTGGGGTGGCTAGAAATTGAATTGCGATAATGAACTAGCTAATGAATTTCAATACTGCACTGTCAGCATATGCCAACAGTAGGCTAGTATCAACTGTATTAATAAAAGCCTACTACCTGGACCCAGTAAAAAGAAAAGTTACTTGCGTACGAGCCTTGTCCTTCCCCGCATTTCTTTCACTTTGTTCTATGCAAGGAGAGAGAGAGAGAGATACGATTGAAGAGTTTCAAGACAAGGATGAAATTTCCTGCCTCGCTTTTTCATCCTATCACCGGCATTGCTTCCATTCCCTGTTTGTCAGAGGCAACACTATACTCATCGCAAGATCATGTTTCGTACCAAGAGGTCACCTATAGCAATTCATATTAGTCACCCGAATTTTCCACCTTTGACCTAGCAAAATAGAATGACAAGTTATTGCTTTACAAAACGTCGATTTAGATTACTTTGAAGCAATTTCAGGAGTGTCTTCGACATTGCCAATAATGATTTCCAAATTAATTCTTGTTCTCAGAAATGTAACTTTTTGTTGTGGTTTGCAATGTGACTAAAGGCAAAGAGAAGGATTTCACGCAATAGTGGTGTTTGAGAGGGGGTGGCGTCACACATCAAAACCCATTAAGATAGCTGACCTTTTCTAGAAGCAATGTATCACAATGTTTGGTTACCGATTGTTGGGAAGTGTAATTGTGACAATACTCATTTAAAAGTAACTACATGGGGACGAGTTGATGTTCCTTCCAAATCGGAAATTCAACGGTTTTCCTACAAAAGAGAATGTAAATTGTGCAAAAGAAATTTGTTTAAGTTTTCTTCGTATTTGACTTTTAGCCAACCCAAGGACGTTAGGGAAAATAGATGAAAGAGCCAGATTTAAATCTAGAGTTTCAAGGTGTTTTTAGACCGTAAGGTCTGATATCTTCTAAAAATTGTTTATAACACTTAGCAGAAAAAGGAATGCGTACACTCTGAGAGAAAATATAGCATCTAAAGTATTGAAGTCTATAATGTTCTGCAAAAGCTCTCTACATTTCACACTTAGAAAAATTTTTGTGAAAATTTCAGTGCAACCTTTCTTACTTTAACGTCTTCCGCTTTGTTCCTAATTTTTGGGGTGCCTTTTCGCAAAATTTTTAAGTGCGAACGTTTATTTTTTTACAAAACTGCAGGCAAAGATGTTAAAAATTTTCGACAAAAAACATATAATTAAATTGCAAGCACTGAGAAAATATTTGAGAATAAAATCTATTCAAGACAAGGACTATTCGTTCAATGCTGTCACCTATTCGATTCAGTATGTTACGTTTTTCAGTAGGGTGTTCCAAAGGGTACGAATATAGCAATACGCTTTTCTCGTCGTAATCCTGTTGCTGTGTGTCCTTGAAATGCTAAAATATTGACAAATTAACAACGTAACTAACTTTTCCTATATCGAAAGATAACCAACCAATTCATGTATCCAGCCATCATTTCTTTAAATTGGCACCTCCTAGCTCATGAACCTACCTAACAGGCAGCCATGCACCCAGTAGAAACCTAAAATCCTGAAAGCCTAATGTTTCTACTATGAAAAACACAGTTATACTTGAATTTATCCCCGGATATTCGTCGCGTTTGACGCATGATTTGAAGCAGTTAGTTGTAATCCTGTTGTATCGACAATGGCTTAAAATGAAGCTAGATTTACTTCCGCAATATGGCGGCAGGCAAGTTAAAGGCCTTACCCAATAACAATGTTAACAATAAGCTGTTTCATCAATAACTTGTATTAATCGAAAGTGAATATTGCCGAACAAGGCTGAGTTGTTTTTCTAGGATTGAACAAAGGGTTTGTAAATTACTGGTGTATAGTTTTGAAGCTTTCCTAATTAAAAATCATAAGTTTGTCTATATTCATTTATTTTAATTTCAAATCATTTCTTTAAATTTACTGGGTTTTTACTTCATACTCAAAAGCAACTATGACTATATATACTGTTTTTAACAATAGTTTGAAAAAACTTCTGAATGGTTTTAAGATGATTTTAGAATACCTACCCATAACATTACAGATAGAATTCAAAGTTAAAATCATTATGTTCCATTCACAAAATACAAATGTAACATGTTTTTCAGGCGATCTAGTTTATTTTTTGTGTCTCGTAAAACAAATAGCCCTCTGTGAAAAAATACGAAGTGTACAATTGACAGTTGCTAAAACAAAGTAAAGCAGATGGGTTACCTTATGTCAAAATGCTGACAAGAACAGACTAATTTACCCTTTAAAAAGGAAGTCGGCAAAGTTTTTATACACTAACCAATTAATTTCCCGTGTTATATGATTCACCAGAAGACAACAGGATAGAACTTTCGTTCAGCGACATTTCTTTCAGTAATTCGAATAATAGCCGGTAATTGGAAGTTTCTTGTGGTCCGGCAAATAACGAGGTCACTAGCTCTAGGCAATATGTATATAGATTACGCAAACAATCATGGAATAAAGAACATTAAACATACCATACCTAGTACAACCTTAAAAATACGAACTTATGAAGATACCATGGCAAATCAATTATCGGAGAAATATGATTTTAGGAGTTTAAAGTACATGAAAACTAAAGAGCGACATTATCGTTTACTCAAAAGAGTATTTTAAAGTAAATTTTGCTTTATTAAAGCAAAAAGCGTTTATTTGGCAAAGCAAAGCCGCCTATTGAATCATAAATACACTATTAAGTTAGAATGACGTCAAAATAAGATTCGAATGAGACGGAATTTGACGGAAATGTTACTTTGTAATAAATGCGAACCTCAATATAATCAATTTGATTGGGGTTTTTAAAGAATTCAGAAGCCTACTTATTTGAGTCAGTTGCATAATTTACGGACCAGCCTTAGCTTGACCTTACTGCCTTGATCAGCACGAGTGTAAATTCATTAACAATGAAAGCTGGCACAAAAAAACAAACAAATTTAGGGCTCTATGTCTCTGTTTTGAGCAAACGTTTTAGAGAAGGAATTTGCGAGGCGTGATTTTGCCTTGCACGGCATTCTTTGTGACAGACCTATATGACCTTCAACGCCCAACATATTTACTTGAATCGGTCATGCAAATCTAAGTTTATTAAATTGTGATCTTAGAAAAGATAGAAACTAATACAGCAGGATATGAAAGACTTTTCATAAAGATACTTTACTCACTTTGAAAAAGAATAACGAGATTTGTTCGTGCGAAGATGTGCAATATCAGTCGCACTAGAATCGCGATAAGAACTTCTCCGCAGACTGTTAAGACAAGCAATGTAATGGAGATTCCTTGATTTTTGCTCTCAAAATATAAAAATCTTTTGATTGATATTGCAAAAGATTTAGGACATGAAACAGCTGTCAAAGAAGCAATAAGACTGAATATTGCAGAGTATCGCATCTTTTATATTTTCGTCAATCCAAAACAGATGTTTCACTTTTGAGAATTTTGTGAATTTTGTGCAAAATGTGCTTGGGATAAGCAGAACCTGTGTTGCCTTTTTCGTATTAACAAAATTTGAAAGATCGGAATAAAACTTGAAAAATTCTTCTCACCAAAAAAGTAATGAATGCTTTTGAATAATGAATGTTGCCGCAATTCTCCATTTCTGGTAATAAAAACTTCAATCTGTCTTGATCACAATATATTCATTTTTTGGCATGTTTGTCTAAGTAAGTAATCTTCAAAAATAAAACCCAACTTGCTTCCTTTATTCTACTCTCCAGGAAAAATCTTAAATGTTTTTTGTTTGACAAATGATATGGCCTTGTTTGGGATCCAATCTGCATAATCTTACAAAAGTTATTTTTTTATTTTTCACCAACCACCATTTCTCCTTGCCCAAGCCATTATATAATTTGTCATGGCAAAAACTCCAATTTTCTTTAACTTTAGACAAAAACCATCATTTTATTATACATTCGACTTTTTCCTTTACTCATTATATTATACATCTATCATTATATCATTACATTATACATCATTATATTATATTATATCGATTTTATTATACATTCGACTCCAATTTTCTTTAACTTTAGACAAAAACCATCATTTTATTATACATTCGACTTTTCCAAGCCCTGGTCTTCTCAAGTATCTAGTGACGTGGAAATTAAAATGTGAACAAACAGACGAATCTCCTTTTTATAAGATTATCCAAAGATTAATTTATTTATTTGATTTGCTAACTTATATTATCTATCATTGACTTGTATACTAAATAAAATAGTTAAAAGTACTTAACAACTTAATACTTTGTACATTTACAAAGAATAGGCCTATGCTTAAAGGTTAAAGTGTTATCAATGATTTTTTCACATGAAAATAATTCCCAGTTTTTAATGGATGTGGTTAATTTGTTATGCAGTTTAAGGACATCCTTAACAGAACGTACTTTAGTTCTAAGTTATCTACAGTAGTTTGGTATTATCTCCTCTATCTTTAACCAGTATCAGCCCTTTCACATAACTGTAATAGCAAGTGAGTAAGACACGAAAATTGATTAAATTTAAAGAAGTAACGTAAAATCTTGCATTTACTCACTTATGTTTATAAACAAAAATTTCGAAAAACGATGCACAGGCACAAGTTAAAAATAGTTTTCCCTTTTATTTATGCTTTCTTCAAAAAATTTAGACCTTTAGAAATCTTCTATCAATAACAATAACACATATTTCAATTTTCTTTTTGAAAAAACTGCGTATAACTTTAGCTTAATCCTCTTAAAAAGCTCGTGTTATCATAACAATTGTTGATAGTGATTTGTAAATATAACAGGTGCCTTGCTGACATGACTTATCTTAGTCAAACTAAAGCTTCGCGTAAATTGCTTGAAATCTACAAAAGAGCTTCGCAAGCCGATTGCAAAATAACTAAATCTAGGATATAAAAACTTGTTTGCACGATTTGATTTATGGATATGACTAACTTTTAATTAAATTTCATTATTTCATCTAAACCTGTTTATGCGCGTCTGTCATATAATGCTCGATGTTGTAATGGCAGAGCTGTACACGCTATGGTTTAGAGACAAGTCGGGGGGGGGAGGGGGGGTCTAAGTCGCATCTCTGAATTTTGCGCTTAATGGGCTCATTAGGTAACTATCAAATGTGACAACAGTCAAGTAATTTTTGAGATGAAATGAAGAGAGCAAGCAGAAATGAAAAGAGCAGAATTTCATAGCTTCACGCAACCTGAGGATATTCTCCCAACCTCTTAAGCGAATAGCGTTAACTCTGCTACCCTACACAATTTATCAACATTATTGGGTCGTTATTATGTTGTAATTCCAAAAGATAAAGGTTTCTAATCTGTCAATTTTTCTTATCCATAGTGTGTATATTCTGAAGAAGAGTCAAGGAAGATAATGAATTGCAAGTAGTGTGTTATGTTGTTCTCATCAATAATAATGAATGCTTGATAAAATGATCTGGAAAAGGGTATGTTCACGGCTGATTTTCTTGCGGTCTGTCACAGCGCATCCAAAATGTCTTTCTTCGGTCCTTGGATAATTTCTTGGGAAAAGTTTCATTAAGGCAAGCTTCATTGCTGCAACGAAATTGCAAGTACTAGCCAATTAAATTTCGGACGACAAGATGTTAAACTTTTGTCGCAGATGGTAATTAACACTTGAAAATGCAGAATTCAAGCTCTCAGTTGTCTAAATCATGCATTCTAAATGCTCTATTACCTGCACCAGACATCAGTACCAAGTACGCAGGTGTAGCAGCTTTTATATGGAATCACACTTTGCATTATCGTAGCCTATTAAAAAGGCCCATTGGTAATGGCAAACTCTGTCAAAATAAGATATGTATTCACAAAGTCCATAAAACATAACGGTTATACAGCTGTGAGCTGGAGAAAGATTAGCCAACGCTGCAGTAGTTTTGAGGAAGGGTAAAGCAAACTTGACAAGAGTATATAAAGCGAGAGAGGTTTAACCTTGTCCTTAAGCTTTTCATTTCTACCGACAAAGCATGAAGACCAAACCATAGATGATTTTACTCAAATTTAATTCCCAACACTTTTTTTTGAAAAGCTAAGAGAAAAAGTTTAATAAAGGCAAATAGGGCAAAATTTCAAACGGAGGAAGGTTGCGGTTTTTTTCGGACTCCGTGTATAGTCTTGGAATTTTTGAATAGACTCAATAATTATACAGTCATTAATTGTAGAGGTTTAAGTTAAGTGAGCTGAAGTTTAGTAGATCAAACCAGATTTTAGTAAATTATAGTCTAGATGTTTCGTATAGTTTATATCATTTAGTATACTGAATACGCATACAGTTATTGAATATTAATATAGTTTCATACTCTGTAAAAGTGAAACTATGTTTATGAATTGAAACCTTATGTGGACGTTGGGTAGAATAAATGAAAGTATTGTAGCTGCTTTGCCTCTCAAAGGCCAAGAAAATCATCACAGACTTTCTTATCTTAAGAATTTGTGATTAATGAAAACTGCAAAGGAATAGATGGGATTAAAAGGCGAAAGAGGGGTCAGTGATTACTGAACTTCCATTCTTCGTAATTAATCTTATTCAGAGTACTCAAGCTCGAGCACGAACCATAAAACTTTTGCTTCCCTCGACTACCATTTCTTGATTCATTTTCAAGCCTATTCCCAGGCCTTTTGGTTGATGCTGGAAACGAATATCTTTAGCTTATTACCTGGCAAGTTTTCTGCTTGTTCTCACACGTTGACATTGGTTCATCGTAGCTAAATCAACCCGATGGACCGCCTCTATTTCAAGTAACACTGATGATAGTTTGCAAAGCCTTTTTGTGCGAACTTTCAGGTCTGTTCGGACAGTAGCTAAATGTGTATTTGGCGTTGAGTTGTATTCGAAAGGTATTGACGGGTGCCCAAGACTGACGATTGTGATTGGCCTCATTTTAACCAATCAGCATTCACTTATTGCTGAAGTCATCAGGGAGTCGAAATAAGTGGTAGAAATGAAAAACTACTTCTTGCTATTATGCAAAAATTTTACCTGATATCCTTTGCGTAGAGTTCCCGAAACAATGAAATCTTTTATGATACAGAACAGATTATCAGAAAATCATTATCATTTGTTTGATATGTTTCAATATCAAATCATTTTCTAGTCATCTAATAT